TAGAATCAGAATCAGAATCAGAATCAGAATCAGAATCATTTTTATTGCCAACGTAAGTAACGGGAGGTCACAGACTTGGAAATTGCTTTGGCTCAGTGCAACAGTCAAAAAGAGATAATAATAGACCTGCTTTACCTGCTCTAGTCCTGCTTTAGGCCTGTTTTAGTCCTGCTTTAGTCCGGTTCTAGTTCTGCTTTAGACCTGCTTTCAACCTGCAATAGTCCTGTTTTAGGCCTGCTTTAGACCTCCTTTGGACCTGCTTTAGGCCTGCTTTAGTCCTGCTTTAGGCCTGTTTTAGACCTGCTTTAGTCCTGCTTTAGTCCTGCTTTAGACCTGCTTTAGTCCTGCTTTAGTCCTGCTTTAGACCTGCTTTAGACCTGCTTTAGTCCTGCTTGATATATCTGCTTTAGACCTGGTTTAGACCTGCTTTAGTCCTGCTTTAGTCCTGCTTTAGACCTGCTTTAGTCCTGCTTTAGTCCTGCTTTAGTCCTGCTTTAGTCCTGCTTTAGACCTGCTTTCAACCTATTATAGTCTTGTTTTAGGCCTGCTTTAGACCTCCTTTGGACCTGATTTAGGCCTGCTTTAGTCCTGCTTTAGGCCTGCTTTAGTCCTGCTTTAGTCCTGCTTTAGTCCTAGTCCTGCTTTAGTCCTGCTTTAGTCCTGCTTTAGAACTGCTTTAGACCTGCTTCAGGCCTGTTTTAGACCTGCTTTCGTCCTGGTTTAGTCCTGCTTTAGACCTACTTTAGACCTGCTTTTGCCCTGCTTTAGACCTGCTTTTGTCCTGCTTTAGTCCTGCTTTAGACCTGCTTTAGTCCTGCTTTAGTCCTGCTTTCGACCTACTATAGTCCTGCTTTAGTCCTGCTTTAGACCTGCGTTAGACCTGCTTCAGGCCTGTTTTAGACCTGCTTTAGTCCTGCTTTAGTCCTGCTTTAGACCTGCTTTAGTCCTGCTTTAGTCCTGCTTTAGACCTGCTTTAGTCCTGCTTAAGTCCTGCTTTAGACCTGGTTTAGTCCTGCTTTAGACCTACTATAGTCCTGCTTTAGTCCTACTTTGGATCTGCTTTAGTCCTGCTTTAGACCTACAATAGTCCTGCTTTAGTCCCACTTTGGACCTGCTTTAGTCCTGCTTTAGACCTACTATAGTCCTGCTTTAGTCCTGCTTTAGTCCTCTTCCTTGTATCTAAATAAGGCTCTTCCTGTTGACAGTAATAATTCATAAAATCAATATCTTGGTGTTTCCTGTTGGAGCAGCGTCTCGTCTAACTTTTCCTCCTTCATCAGTGCCAAAATGCCCTGTCCTCGATAGAATGAATGAATCAATGAAACAGAGCTTTGTGCAGATGCTATCGTAGAGACTTTAAAATGGTGAATGTGTGTGAATGAGGCTGAGGTTTTGTCTCTACGGCCAGTGTTTGTGCGTGTGGCGAGGGCCGATAACACTCTCCATTCAAACCAGTGTAATCTGCTGTTACACACATCACCTACACAAACACACTCGCCTCCTGCTTAAAGACGCACAAACACACATACGTCCACACGGCTCCGGAACATTTCATGTCTTTGATTTTAGTGAATGAACAGGAGCTAATGCTAACTTTGTACCAGTAAAAAGTTAGAGTTCGTATATGTTTACAGGTCCTCAGATCTCTCTCCGTTCTCTCTCTCTGGTCTCTATCTCTGGTCTCTCTCATAAGTCTCTCTCTCTCTGGTCTCGGTCTCTGGTCTCTGTCTGGTCTCTCTCTGATCCCTCCCTCTGGTCTCGCTGGTCTCTCTCACAGGTCTCTCTGACAGGTCTCTCTCTCTCTGATCTCTCTGGTCTCTATCTCTGGTATCTCTTTCTGGTCTCTCTGGTCTCTGTCTTTGCTTTCTCTCTCTGTTCTCTCTTTCTATCTCTGGTCTTCTCACTGGTCTCTCTCTCTGGTCCCTCTCTGGTCTCTGGTCTCTCATTGGTCTCTCTGGTCTCTCTCTTGTCTCTCTCTTTCTCTCTAGTCTCTCTCTGGTCTCTCTGGTTCTTCTCACTGGTCTCTCTCTGGTCTCTGGTCTCTCATTGGTCTCTCTCTTGTCTCTCTCTTTCTCTCTGGTCTCTCTCTCTGGTCCCTCTCTGGTCTCTGGTCTCTCTCTTGTCTCTCTCTTTCTCTCTAGTCTCTCTCTCTGGTCTCTCCCTGGTCCCTGTGTAACCGGAGCCTCCATATGTCTGAGTAAAACCTGGTATAGATCCGTCTCAGGTCCGAGCGCTGGGACCAGATCTTAAATTAGACGATAAAAGCTTTTATTCTAATAATAGATTGTGATTCGTTCAGGACCATTGCTCTGATGATCCCATCTGTCTCCACCAGGGCGGGGACTGTGAGTTCATACGGTTCAGTCGGTTTTATATCTATTTATTGATTAATTGTCACTGAAGTCGTATTAAAAAAAACAAGATTTATTTTGTATATGGGCTTGTTCACCCTAAATGGCACAAAAGTTAGATTTTAATCATCAGAAATTATGTTTTTCTTATTATCCAAATACCTCTTCTGTCCATTAGTAGTTGCTAAAAGATAACTGTGGTATACATTAGTCACAGGACTCTGGTCTCTCTCTCTGGTCCCTCTCTCTGGTCTCTCCCTCTGGTCCCTCTCTCTGGTCCCTCTCTCTGGTCTCTCTCTGGTCCCTCTCTCTGGTCCCTCTCTCTGGTCCCTCTCTCTGGTCTCTCTCTCTGGTCTCTCCCTCTCGTCTCTCTTTCTCTGGTCTCTCCCTCTGGTCCATCTCTCTGGCATCTCTCTCTGGTCCCTCTCTCTGGTCTCTCTCTCTGGTGCCTCTCTCTGGTCTCTCCCTCTGGTCCCTCTCTCTGGTCCCTCTCTCTGGTCTTTCTCTCTGGTCCCTCTCTCTGGTCTCTCCCTCTGGTCCCTCTCTCTGGTCTTTCTCTCTGGTCCCTCTCTCTGGTCTCTCCCTCTGGTCTCTCTCTCTCTGGTCTCTCTCTGGTCTCTCTCTGGTCTCTCTCTGGTCTCTCTCTGGTCCCTCTCTCTGGTCTCTCTCTGGTCCCTCTCTCTGGTCTCTCTCTGGTCCCTCTCTCTGGCCTCTCTCTCTGGTCTCTCTCTCTCTCTGGTCTCTCTCTCTGGTCTCTCTCTGGCCCCTCTCTCTGGTCTCTCCTTCTGTCTGATCCCTCTCTCTGGTCTCTCTCTCTCTCTCTGGTCTCTCTCTGGTCTCTCTCTGGTCCCTCTCTGGTCCCTCTCTCTGGTCTCTCTCTCTCTGGTCTCTCTCTGGTCTCCCTCTGGTCCCTCTCTCTGGTCTGTCTCATGGTCTCTCTCTGTTATAGGTATAGATCAATCAATCAATCAATCAAATTTTTATTTGTATAGCGCCCAACAACAGCCAGAAGGTGCCCAGGGCGCTTTCCAGGATAAAAACAGGAATCACAATAGATGTGTATTTATACATAGGTTGAGATTTACAGGAGAGAATTGATTTTCTAATGTTGTTTCCAAACATCACTGGATAAATAATGCAGCAGATTAAATTTAGAAAAACCTCAAATGGAATCTACCGTCTGAGCACAAACTAAAATCATAAATGATGTACAAAACCCGTGGCGACAGTGAGGAATCCTCCCGGCTCAGATAACTGTTCACTTTTAAATATTTGATGAGAAATATGTGTTTGTGTGTCAGTGAGATGAAAGACGGAAAGGTGAAAGCAGTGGGAGACGTGTGACAGAAGGACCTGCTTAAGACCTGCTTTAGTCCTGCTTTAGTCCTGCTTTAGTTCTGCTTTAGTTCTGCTTTAGTCCTGCTTTAGACCTGCTTTAGACCTGCTTTAGACCTGCTTTAGACCTGCTTTACTTCTGCTTTAGTCCTGCTTAAGACCTGCTTTAGTCCTGCTATAGACCTGCTTTAGACCTGCTGTAGACCAAATTTAGTCCTGCTTTCGTCCTGCTTTAGACCTGCTTTAGACCTGCTGTAGACCAAATTTAGTCCTGCTTTCGTCCTGCTTTTGTCCTGCTTTAGACCTGCTTTAGACCTGCTTTAGACCTGCTTTAGTCCTGCTTTAGTCCTGCTTTAGACTTGCTTTAGACCAAATGTAGTCCTGCTTTAGATCAAGTTTAGTCCTACTTTAGACCAATTTTAGTCCTGCTTTAGCCCTGCTTTAGACCTGCTTTAGACCTGTTTAAGACCTGCTTTAGACCTACCTTAGACCTGCTTTAGACCTACCTTAGACCTGCTTTAGTCCTGCTTTAGTCCTACTTTAGACCTGCTTTAGACCTGCTTTAGACCTGCTTTAGTCCTGCTTTAGACCTGCTGTAGACAAAATTTAGTCCTGCTTTAGCCCTGCTTTAGACCTGCTTTAGACCTGTTTTAGACCTGCATTAGACCTGCTTTAGTCCTGCTTTAGTCCTGCTTTAGTCCTGCTTTAGTCCTGCTTTAGACCTGCTTTAGTCCTGCTTTAGCTTTAGACCTGCTTTTGTCCTGCTTTAGACCTGCTTTAGACCTGCTGTAGACCAATTTAGTCCTGCTTTAGACTTGCTTTAGACCAAATGTAGTCCTGCTTTAGATCAAGTTTAGTCCTACTTTAGACCAATTTTAGTCCTGCTTTAGACCTGCTTTAGACCTGTTTTAGACCTGTATTAGACCTGCTTTAGACCTGCTTTACTGCTGCTTTAGTCTTGCTTTAGTCCTGCTTTAGACCTGCTTTTGTCCTGCTTTAGACCTTCTTTAGACCTGTTTTAGACCTGCATTAGACCTGCTTTAGACCTGCTTTAGTCCTGCTTTAGTCTTACTTTAGTCCTGCTTTAGACCTGCTTTTGTCCTGCTTTAGACCTGCTTTTGTCCTGCTTTAGTCCTGCTTTAGACATGCTTTAGTCCTGCTTTAGACCTGCTTTAGTCTTATCTAGTTTTGTGAATGAATTCTTGTGTGGGCTTGTGTGTGTGTGTTACTGGGGAAACAGAGGCATCCATTCATAATCATGTGAGCCACTGATAAAGTTTCTCCACACACTCTATAACTCCTGTGTTGTTTCAGTGTGTGGGGGAGGAGACCTGGGTGGACAGTCGGACCATCTACATCGGTCACAAAGCTCCGCCTCCGGGGACAGAGGCCTTCATCCAGCAGCGTTACCCTGACAACCGTATCACCTCCTCCAAGGTAACTGTGACAATAACATAAACAACCAGCTTCACGCCGCCGCAATGACGCTAACTCTTTCGTGTTTCGTCTGCGCAGTACACCTTCTGGAACTTCGTCCCCAAAAACATGTTCGAGCAGTTCAGACGAGTCGCCAACTTTTACTTCCTCATCATTTTCTTAGTCCAGGTTGGTGGGCTACGGCATGGTCTCTCTCTCTCTCTCTGGTGTCTTTCTCTGGTCTCTCTCTTTGGTCACTCTCTCTGGTCTCTCTCTGGTCTCTCACTGGTCTCTCTCTGGTCTCTCTCTGGCCTCTCTCTGGGCTCTCTCTGGTCTCTCTCTGGCCTCTCTCTGGGCTCTCTCTGGTCTCTCTCTGGGCTCTCTCTGGTCTCTCACTGGTCTCTCTCTGGTCTCTCTCTGGCCTCTCTCTGGTCTCTCTCTGGCCTCTCTCTGGGCTCTCTCTGGTCTCTCTCTGGGCTCTCTCTGGTCTCTCACTGGTCTCTCTCTGGTCTCTCACTGGTCTCTCTCTGGTCTCTCTCTGGTCTCTCCCTGGTCTCTCACTGGTCTCTCACTGGTCTCTCTCTGGTCTCTCTCTGGTCTCTCTCTGGCCTCTCTCTGGTCTCTCTCTGGTCTCTAACTCCTGTTGTGTCCACAGCTGATCATTGACACTCCCACCAGCCCCGTGACCAGCGGACTGCCCCTATTCTTTGTCATCACCGTCACAGCCATCAAACAGGTGAGAACCAGATCTGGTAGATCTGGTACAGAGGATACCAGAGAGACCAGAGAGAGAAATCAGTGCGAGAAACTAGAGAGAGACCAGGGGGAGACCAGAAAGAAAGACTGGAGAGAGACAGGGTTTAGACCAGAAACCAAAACAAAAAAACAAAACTTGATCACATGTCTAATATCAGCGTAGCTTTCCCATGCGATCTTAAATGCCTCTGCTGGTCCTGTCTCAGTTGGACCTGGTTTACGTGGTCTGGTTTTTCACTCCTCAGTGACAGCACAGGTTTATCATGAATCTTGTTCAATATAAATAAACTGTACTAAAGCAGAGAGTGGTTTGTGAACACATATGTTTTATTGTGCAGGGTTATGAGGACTGGCTCAGGCACAAAGCCGACAACTCCATCAACAAGTGTCCAGTTCATGTGGTCGACAACGGGAGAGTGACACGCAAACAGAGCCGCAATCTGAGGGTCAGACACACTCACACACACACAGAGACACGCTCACACACACGCACAGACACACACACAGACACAGATGCACATGAACATGGTCAGACTGACCACATCTGGCAACAACAGCTGATAAAAGATGCGTCACACCATCACGTGTCATGTCTGACGAGGCAAAACATGTACAACAGAAAATTATGTAGTACTAGCTTTCCTTACAGACAGACAGAAGAAGTGTGTGTGTCTCTGAGTGTGTGTTTGTGCACACACTCAGAGACACACACACACACACACTCACACCAAGCCCCGGCGATCCAAGATGGCACCGTATTCAAATGATTGGTTTGTGCTCAGTGGCGCATGTGTTAGCATTAGCCGAACTTGCCCATATTTGGGCATCGTCTGGTCCTCCCGATTCTGCGCAATGGACGAGCTCCCATGATGCGTTGCGCTAAATATGCGTGGCTCTCATGCACATGCACAGAAGGACTAGAGCGGGAAGCAACGAGCAGAGTTTGTGGCATTAAAGTGTGGATTTAAAGAAAACCAATAAATTTAAGAAGAAAAAAAGTTCAGGATGACAAGGGACAAAAAAATCCCCACAAAATCCGACCTTTATGAATGCTGTGGGTTCTCTGTCAGCTGAGGTCTCGCTGTTTTAGTTTACATTGAGTTTTATGGGGAAAATGTCTGGGTAGCCCATGTGAATTTAGTCTCTTTTAGTCTGCAGTACCGCGAGAATCCCCCAAGCACATGGGTCCTTCAGCTCCAAGCTAGTAATACCCTTTCCAGTTATTATAATAGATCCATGATACATACACACACAAATACACACACAGACACGGACTCTCTCACCCCTCTCACCTCCCTCACCCACACACTCTCACAGAGAGACACACACACATACACACAGACATAGAAACACACTGACACACACACAGAGACATACTCACATAGACACATACACTCTCACTCTTCTCTCTCAACCCTCTCTAATCCCTACCTAACCCCTCACTTACCCCTCTCTCACCCACCCCTCACCCCTCTCTCACCTCTCCCCCCTCTCTCGCAGGTGGGGGACGTGGTGTTTGTGAAGGAGGATGAGACGTTTCCTTGCGACCTCGTTCTTCTGTCCACGTCCAGACCCGACGGCACCTGCTTCGTCACCACTGCCAGTTTAGACGGAGAGAGCAGCCACAAGGTACAAGTACAAGTACTACTGCTACTACTACTACTGCTACTGCTGCTGCTGCTACTATTACTACTACTGCTGCTATTGCTATGGCTACTAACACTGTCGAGAAATGAAAACAGAGGCAGCAGTGATCGGCAACACGGTTTATTTTCGAGTTCTTCCAGAGCGAACCAAAGGCGAAGCTTTTTATATGAAACTAGTGACAGAAGCAACTGTTTTAGAGCCAGGGAGCTCAGCTTTAACCTAATCTTAAACCTCAGCTTTATCCTAAACCTGGCTGCACGGTGTAGCACTCTCGCTTCTCCGCAAGAAGGTTCTGGGTTCGAATCCCGGTCGGAACACGGCCCCTCTGAGTGGAGTTAGCATGTTCTCCCCGTGTCTGCGTAGGTTTCCTCCGGGTACTCCAGTTTCCCCTACCACTAAAAACATGTGTAATAGTTCAGAGTGAGAGTGTGTTTGTGAGTGCAAATGTGGGACAACGGATGCAAATTAGCCCAAGGCTACAATCCGGAGTGATGTGTTCATTAACATGTACTGTCCCAACCAAATAAAAAAAACGAATCTTTAACCTCAGCTTTATCTTCAGCTTCATCCTCAGCTTTATCCTCATCTTTAACCTCATTAATAACCTCATATTGAACCTCAGATTTATCCTCATGTGTGTTTGCAGACGTACTACGCAGTGCAGGACACTAAAGCCTACATCACAGAGGAGGAAGTTGACTCTATTCACGCCACCATCGAGTGCGAGCAACCGCAGCCCGACCTCTACAAGTAAACAACACATTATGTTATACTTTTATAACAATATAATTATATTAATAATATTAATAGTAATAATACTGCTGTTGTCTGCAGGTTTGTGGGCCGTATCCACGTCTACATGGACAGTGAACCAGTGAGCAGGTACACACACACATACAAGCACACGCACACACACACACACACACACACATATAGACACAAACACATACGACACACAGACATACACGCACACAAACATACACAAATGTTTAAAGTGTGTATTCTTCAGACCGCTGGGATCTGAGAACCTGCTGCTGAGAGGAGCCACTCTGAAGAACACAGAGCACATCTACGGTACGAGCTTTGACTCACAATCAGAGGAACGCCATCTTTAAGTTTATTATTAATGTTTAGACAAAAACTGCACCACAGACAAACATCAGTCTTTAAAACTGTACATGTTTGTGTTTCAGCTGTGGTGATCTACACCGGGATGGAGACCAAGATGGCCCTGAACTATCAGAGCAAGTCTCAGAAGAGGTCTGCAGTGGAGAAGTGAGTCCAGAGGACCAGAGCACTTGAGTCCAGGACTGAGAACTGAGAATTGAGGACTAGAGTCCAGGACTGAAGACTGAGGACTGAGGGCCAGAAGACCAGAGTTTGGGACGGAGGACTGAGGACCAGAGTCCAGGACTGAGGGCTAAGGATCTTGACTGCTGCTGACCTATTGGTTCATCAATAATTCTGTGGTTCCCATTGGAAGAGGAGACATAAACAGACGCTATAAAAACTACACTGTGTTGAGGTGAATTGACGAGAGGCTGTCCACACTCTGCTGGTCCAGACTTTGCTGGTCCACACTCTGCTGGCTCACACTTTGCTGGTCCGCACTCTGCTGGTCCACAGATCAAAGACCCCTTCTTCTAAGTCTCTGGTCCTCTGTCCCCTTCTCTTACAGGCTGACCATCTATGAGCATTTTGGGTTAACTTATCATGACGCACTATACTGATTGGTTGGAATATAGGCCTCTAGTGAGGGTTAAAAATGGACTGCTCCAACCTGGTGTGTATCTGTTTGTGTCTCTGGTCCATCAACCCGTGTGTGTGTGTTTCTGTTACAGGTCCATGAACTCGTATCTGGTTGTGTATCTGTTCATCCTGATTAGCAAGGCGCTGGTGAACACTCTTCTGAAGTACGCGTGGCAGGCGGCTCCAGAACGAGACGAGCCGTGGTTCAACCAACGCACTGAGGCGGAGCGGCAACGGCACATCGTACGACATACGCAACACATAATGCATCATTTTCACAGAGAGAGACCTGAATCCATAACTCCAGTGCCTCTCGATCAACTCAAACTTAGTTGTAAACAGGAAAAACGTGCAAAGCAAAAGTTCAAGCTGTAATAATACTTGCGAGGTTAATGGAGCCCCACAAGGGTCTATTCTGGGGCCTCTTGTATTTCTCATGTACATACTTTGGAACAGGTAATTTAGTCCAATGAGTGAAAGTCCTCATGTACAATGTGTGTGTGTTGGGTTGCAGGTGATCAGGGCCTTCACAGACTTCCTGGCCTTCATGGTGCTCTTTAATTACATCATTCCCGTTTCCATGTACGTTACTGTGGAAATGCAGAAGTTCCTGGGCTCCTACTTCCTGATGTGGGACGACGACATGCTTGACCCAGAGCTGGGAGAGAGAGCTGTGGTCAATACGTCAGACCTCAACGAAGAACTGGGACAGGTGCTACTGATACTGCTACAAGCACTACTGCTGCTATGGCTATTGCTACTGCTGTGACTACTACTACAACAAAAAGCACTACTGCTGCTACTGTTGCAACTACTACTTCTATTACTACTCCAAGCATTCCTACTGCTGCTAGCTACTGCTGCTGCTACTGCTAGCTGAGTAGAGGACATTTTATGTTGTTCATGTCTTCGGTCTTCTGTAAAGCAGTATTTAGCTGCTTGGACCAGCAGCTAGATAGTTTTCCGAGTAGACCATATCAGGATATGAAAACCAGTCTGAACCCGGTTTGAACTGGTCGGAACTGGTCTAAATCAGTATAAACTGGTCTGAGCCTGCTCTGAACTGATATAAATTTGTCTAAACTGGTTTGAACCCGTTTTGAACTGGTCTGAGCACGTTCTGAACTGGTCCGAACTTGTTCAAATCCGGCCTCTTGCAGGTGGAGTACGTGTTCACAGATAAAACTGGAACTCTGACAGAAAACAACATGGAGTTCATCGAGTGCTGCATCGGAGGAAGTGTTTATGTGCCTCACGCAATCTGCAACGGACAGGTGAGAATACTACTACTGTTACTACTATTACTGCTGCTACTACTGCTACTACTACTACTGTTACTGCTACTGCTGGTACTACTGCTACTGTTACAGCTGAAACTGCTGGTACTGCTACTACTCCTACTGCTGCTCTGACTACTGCTACTACTACTTATACCTTTGCTACTACTGCCACTGCTGGTACTAGTCCAACAACTCCTGGTACTAATACTGCTTATTATATATCTAACAATATCCAGTTACACAATAATTGTCAATTAATGTGTGTAAATCTGTGTCAGTGAGTGCTTCTCCTCTGCTGAGATAATCCACCCTCACACCTGTGATCTGTGTTTGTGTTTGAGGTGATGTCTGGAGCTGGGATGGACATGATCGACACGTCTCCAGGTCCCAGCGCCAGAGTGAGTGACCATGGAGGAGGGTCATTGGTCAAGGCGTAAACAAATTGTCAATCAGCGACTCACATTTGAATCCATTATATGTTTAAATGCTTCATATTTGCTGAATCTCCTTCTGAATAGTTGTCATTCTATGGATAATCCTCATTGAACCTAATACTCAATTCTATGGGGTCCCACAAGGGTCTATCCTTGGGCCTCTTCCTTCTATTCCTGGGGCGGCTGTACATTGCCAAACTGTGGTTGTTTCCTTAGGCAAGACACTTCACCCACATTAGAATGAGTGTGTGTGTGTGTGTGTGTGTGTGAATGGTTGGTGGTGTGAGGGGCTCATGGCACATACTGGTTGCCTCGCTTCTCTCACTGTGCCCCAAGACAGCTGTGGCTACAGTAGTAGTTTCTCACTTCTATATTTTAAAAAACACATTGTCTCAATACAAAATTGTCCTCTGTGACGTTTGCTTCATTGTGGCGTTAGATCAACTGTGACCATTGTGTTCAGGACCAGGAGGAGCTGTTTTTCCGTGCCCTCTGCCTCTGCCACACGGTGCAGGTGAAGGAGGAGGAGACTGTGGATGGAATCAAGTTGGGAATCCACCAGGGGAAGTCCACCTCCTTCTACATCTCCTCCTCTCCTGATGAAGTGGCCCTGGTGGAAGGCATGAAGAAGTATGAAACTATACACACATGCCAGAGAGAGACCAGACAGAGATCAGAAAGAGACCAGAGAGAGAACAGAGGGAGAACAGACAGACCAGAGAGAGACATATCGCACCACAGACCGCTGCTGAAGGGCGCTGTACGCTTGTCTCCTTGTATTGTCATCTCCTGTATCACTAAAAACGAAGAAGTCAATTAAAAAAGAACACTAAAAATAAATTCCTCTAAAATCAACTGTGAGTGAATAGTTCTAGAACACGGACTGGAGCTGAGGATTTTGTGTCGGATGTCCAGTGGATCAAAGCCTGGACCGTTGACTAAATAATCTATATTCTATGTTTTCAGATTGGGATTCACGTATCTGCGGCTCAAAGACAGTCACATGGAGATCCTGAACCGGAACGACGAGATCGAGAGGTTGGGTCTCCACACAGTCTCAGTCTTCACCCGTTATTCTGCTTGGCTCTGGTTAAACACGTGGCCTTGTGGTTTCAGGTTTGAGTTGTTAGAAGTGCTGACGTTTGATTCTGTGCGGAGGAGGATGAGCGTCATCGTCAGGGCTGCCTCCGGTAAAACCAATCTCTGCTTCAGTCTATGCTCCTGTCTCTGATTCAATCTCTGTTTTCAGTCTCTGCTTTAGTTCTTTAGTCTGTTCTAAATAACTTTTCCCACTGTCCGTTCTGCTTCTTGTTTCAGGAGAGTTGTTCCTGTTCTGTAAAGGAGCAGACTCATCCATTTTCCCTCGAGTCGTGTCCGGGAAGAAAGATGAGGTGAAGGCACGAGTGGAGCGCAACGCTGTGGTGAGACCTGCTCTAAGTCTCTGATTCAGTTCCTGGTTCAGTCTCTGCTTCAGTCTCTGCTTCAATCTCTGCTTCAGTCCCGGTTTTGCAGTGTGTGTTTACATGTGCTTGAACTAAACCAGATCAGTGTTCTTCTCACTGCAGTTGATGAAGATATGTTTTTTTATTATTTCTATTCCCAGCTTTGTACTGTTGATCTGTAGATGTTTGAATGGATTAGCTCATAACCTCCACTGTGTCCTCTGTCTCCTCTATCCTCTGTGTCCTCTGTCCTTTATGTCCTGTCTGTCTCAGGAGGGCTTGAGGACCTTGTGTGTGGCGTATCGCAGACTCTCGGCGCAGCAGTATGCAGAGGTGTGTGGTCTTCTGTCCGAGGCTCGCTTGGCTCTGCAGGACCGCGACAAGAGACTTGCCGACGCCTACGACCGCATCGAGACCGAGCTAATCCTGCTGGGAGCAACGGCTGTGGAGGACAGGTCTGATTACGAGGAGCAACAATTATGTGACGCGGCTGTAAACACACTCTCATTAAGATTGAGTTTTTTTGCCGTTTGCCGTTAACCACGGTAGAATACATGTGCTCAGTGTGCAACAGACAAGTACAGGAATAAAACAAGATAAAAAGTACAAGAAACAATGATTACTGTGAAACCAATCAACAAAAACAGTTTAAATACAAGTGAAGATCATTAAAGTACTTTGGTCAGACTGATAACATGTGAAAGAAGCTGTTAGCATGTCCTGCATTTCAGCCACAATATCTTCTTCCAGAGGGAAGAAGCTGGAACATGGCTTTTCCAGAAGAGTCACTGATGGATTTAAGAGTCTGGATTCATAAGAAACTTAAGGAACAGGCTCACAGCCTTCTTTCACAGGGAAGCACCTTTCTCTCTCTGTTCTCTCTTTCTCTGGTCTCTCTCTGTTCTCTCTCTTACTGGTCTTTCTCTGGTCTCTCTCTGGTCTCTCTCTGGTCTCTCACTGTTCTCTCTCTGGTCTCTCTCTGGTCTCTCTCTGTTCTCTCTCTGGTCTCTCTCTGTTCTCTCTCTCTGGTCTCTCTTACTGGTCTTTCTCTGGTCTCCTTCTGGTCTCTCTCTGGTCTGGTCTCACGGTCCTCTTTCAGAGCGGAGCACCTTGTTTAGTGCTCTCCTTTCTTTATTTGTGATGTCGCCGAACCACAGTGACAGAACCAACAAGCAAACTTTCAATGATGCAGCGATAAAAGTAAAGCCTCATGTTGTGTGTTGTGTGTTGCGCGACTAACTCTTTCTAATGACCAGAAATGTGACACTAATAGGTTGACGCTGACAACAAATCTTATCAGCGTCTCTTCTCTTTGCAGTTCTTTATGAATCCATAATTGAATCCAGCTCTAAGAATAATCACTGACTCTTCTGGAAAAGCCAAGTTCCAGCTTCTTCCATCTGGCAGAAGTGATCACGGCTGAGATGCATGACATGCTAACAGCTTTGTTCAGCTGTTATGAGTCTGAGCAAAGCACTTTAATAATCTTCACTTGTATTTGAACTGTTTTTGTTGATAGGTTTCACAGTGAAAATTGTTTCTTGTACTTTACAGATTTGTTTATTTATTTATTTGTCTGCAGCACACTGGGGACTTCTGCAATGTGGTTTTACTACAAACGGCAAAGAAACTGAATCTAAATCTGTGTGTGGTGTGTGTTGTATGTTGTGTGTCGCAGGTTGCAGGAGAAGGCGGCTGACACCATCGAGTCGCTGCACAAAGCCGGGATGAAGGTGTGGGTTCTGACGGGAGACAAGATGGAGACGGCCACCGCCACATGCTACGCCTCCAAGCTGTTCCGACGCACAACGGTGATTCTGGAGCTGACGACCAAGAGGACAGAAGAACAAAGCCTCCATGATGTGCTGTTCGATTTGAGCAGGACGGTGCTGAGGCCAGAGTTAGTACACACATATATATACACACACACACATAAACAGAGAGAAAGAGAGAGAGAGAGACACACACACACACACAGACAGAGAGAGAGACAGTCACACACACACAGACACATAGAGAGAGAGAGAGAGAGACACGCACACACACACACACACACACACAGACACAGAGAGAGAGACACGTACACATGCACAGATACACATACACCTTCCCGTCCTCAGACCTCAGGGACATAAACACATGTCTTCAGTCTGTCCTCAGACCTCGGAGAGTTCTCAGACTTCGGTCTCATCATCGATGGAGCGACTCTGTCCGCGGTGCTCAGACCTGAAGAATCCAACTGTGGAAACTACAAAGACATTTTCCTGGAAATCTGTAGAAACTGCAGCGCGGTGCTCTGCTGCCGCATGGCCCCTCTACAGAAGGCCCAGGTACTGGACCAGGACTGACCAAGGACTGGACCAGGACTGAACCAGGACTGAACCAGGACTGAACCAGGACTAGACCATTGGAACACGGAGTCTTGTTCCAATGGTTTTTCTTCTCCTTTCCTCTGAATGTATAATGCAGGTTTGAGTCTTCTTATGATTCTAGACCAGGACAAAGACTGAGCCTGAACCAGGACCAGGACCAGCACTTCATGCTGTTTTGTGGAACCTCACTGCATCAGTCAGGAGTCATAAATATTGACGAGAAAATGGGTTTATTTCTGTCCTTGACATTTAAGACTTATCAATAAACCACTGTTCGACCAGTCCACAGGGAATCAGGTCTAAAACCGGTCTAAATCAGGACTGAACCAGGTCTAAACCAGGTCTGAAACTGGTCTAAACCAGGACTGAACCAGGTCTAAACCAGGACTGAACCAGGTCTAAACCAGGACTGAATGAGCACTGAACCATGACTGAACGAGGACTGAACCAGGTCTAATCCATGGCCAAACCAGGTCTGAACCAGGTCTAAACCAGGTCTTGTCTTGCAGATTGTGAAGTTGATAAAAATGTCTAAAGAACATCCCATCACTCTGGCGATCGGAGACGGAGCCAACGATGTCAGCATGATCCTGGAGGCTCACGTGGGCATCGGTGAGAGACTACTGCTGATACTACTACTGCTGATACTAATACTGCTGATACTACTACTGCTGATACTAATACTGCTGATACTACTACTGCTAATACTACTACTGCTGATACTACTACTGCAGATACTAATACTGCTGATACTACTACTGCTAATAGTACTACTGCTGATACTACCGATGATACTACTGATTATGCTACTGCTACTACTAATACTAGTGCTGTTGCTACTGCTGTTACTGCTGCCTCTCTTTGGTCTCCGCTGTAAGAATCATCAGTATTTTCTCATGTGACTTCAGTTCATGATCTCGTTTCTCTGCTCAATCACATGGTTTTAGTTTGTCCAGTTTATTTATCTAGCGCACGTCTCGAACACACCGAGACAGAAGAGTGGTGCCTCGTCTCTGTTCTGATGTGTAATACTTACAGTAGGGGGCGCTGTGTAGCCGTGGTTCTGAGCTCTCTCCCCATTGTTTGTTCCTCAGGCATCATGGGTAAAGAGGGGCGGCAGGCCGTCAGGAACAGTGACTACGCTCTGCCCAAGTTCAAACACCTGAAGAAGCTCCTGTTGGTTCACGGACACTACTACTACATCAGAATATCACAGCTGGTGCAGTATTTCTTCTACAAGGTACACTACTACTACTACTGTTATTACTACTAGTAAGTAACTAAGTAAGTAATGTTTATTTATACACCGCCTTTCACAGACAATGGTCACAAAGCGGTTTACAATTGTTATTATTTTTTTGGGCATTTGTCCTCTCACTCCACACAGAGATGGGAGCGGGGTCGCCGAACAGGAGGCGCATGCACAGTCCTATTGTACATATTTTTAGTGGTAGGGGAAACCGGAGTACCCGGAGAAAACCTACGCAGGCACGGGGAGAACATGCAAACTCCACTCAGAAAGGCCCTGGTCCGACCGGGATTCGAACCCAGGACCTTCTTGCTGAGAGGCAAGAGTGCTAGCCACTCAGCCACCGTGCCGCCCACTACTTCTACTTCTACTACTACTACTACTACTATTACTGTTATTACTACTACTACTACTGCTATTACTACTACTACTACTACTGCTACTACTACTACTGTTATTACTACTACTACTACTACTACTGTTATTACTACTACTACTACTGCTATTACTACTACTACTACTACTACTGCTACTGCTATTACTACAACTACTACTACTACTACTACTACTACTGTTATTACTACTACTACTACTACTGCTGTTACTACTACTACTACTACTACTACTGCTACTGCTATTACTACAACTACTACTACTACTACTACTACTGCTAACACTACTACTACTAATAATACTACTGCTACTACACCAGAGTGTCACAGTTGGTGCAGTACTTCTTCTACAAGGTACTAGTACTACTGCGGGGCGGCTCAGGGGCGCAGCAGTTAGTGGTTCTGTTTCACAGCAAGAAGGTCCTAGGCTCAAATGAAGCTGAAGGTGCAAATTCAGGCTGAAAGACCGAGTGCAAATTCCCCCTTCCAAGCCAACCAATCACACAGCCCGGCCAGCCTCCTGCCAACCCTCTGACAGCAAAGCGGGCAGTTTAAAAGGCAGCCACTTCCTGACAAGTAGCGCTTCCTGAAGTTCTGAACACCCACCAGCTCCCCAGCACCTCCTACGGCTCCTGCTCTAGGCTCCTGCTCTGGCTCCAGATCTGGCTCCTGCTCCGCCTACGCCCCATTCACACCATACACTAGCCACCACCAGTGCTTGACCCCGGGGAATCTGAGATCATCTTCAGCTGCAATCGATTTAATCACTGCAAGTGTCACTGCCGGGGTCAATGCGCCAAATACATAAATAATTTTAATGTATTAATTGTGTCTATGGTCTCTTCAGATTGAATTCCACCTCTAGGTGTTTATGTGTGGAGTTTGCATGTTCTCTTGTATATTTCCCGTACGTAACGTGTACAAAAGGTCTGAATGTAAATGAGAGAGTGAATGGATTTGATGCCAGTGTGTTCGGCGTCTTGCTTCATCACCGTGTGGAGAGAATACCAATATCTGAATCTGAACATTGTGCCTCTATCTGTAAAATGTGCCATATCAAAAAACATTACTTACTACTGCTTACTAAACTCTTCATTTATGTACATTCAAATGTGTTCTTTGTTTCGCAGAACGTCGTCTTCATGTTTCCTCAATTTTTATACCAGTTTTTCTGTGGATTCTCGCAACAGGTAATAATACACCTGTTTATATTACGTAATCTCAAATGAATGTCCATAATAATTTTCATAAATGTATGTGTGTCTCAATCTCGTGTGTGTCCCATAATCTCATGTGTATCTGATACTCTTGTGAGTGTGTCTCATCTCATGTGTGTATCATACTATTGTGTGTGGGTCTCATAATCTCATACGTGTGTCTCATAATCTTGTGTGTGTGTGTAATCCCATGTGTAAATTTCAGCCGCTGTATGACACGACCTACCTGACCCTGTACAACATCAGCTTCACGTCTCTGCCGATCCTCGCCTACAGCCTCCTGGAGCAGCACATCAGCACCGACATCCTGAAGAAGGACCCCTCGCTCTACAGGTGCTGCCCACACACCGCCTGTCCACAAACACACAGCATCTGAGTCACAGTCTTAAACTCTGGTGTGTAACTTTCAGACAACAACAATAGAACTCTGTAATCAAATCCATGTCTTTAGTTCTTGGCTCTAAAACCATTGCTTCTAACTCTATGTCACAACTTTAGATCAGCTTTTTCAGACAGAAAAGTGACAAAGAGAGGACCACCCTCACTCAGCCAATCAGCTCTCAGCCTAAAGAGTCAAATAGCGACTCACAGGGCTCAGATAACCTGTTTTAAAGGCAGCTTGTTGTGGTCTGATTTGTTCTCAACATTTTACTTTGACAAGACTCTTTCTGTCGAACATACTAAATGAAAGTATAAAGTTAGGGACCCCAGCTTTAACAGGTCTCTGCTCTGGTTCAGGGATATCGGAAGGAACTGCCTCCTAAGATGGCCGACGTTCGTGTACTGGACGCTGCTGGGCGTGTACGAGGCCGTGGTCATGTTCTTTGGAGCTTACTTCCTATTCGACAACACCACATTTACCAGCAACGGACAGGTGAGGACAGACAACTGGTTTGGACCAGTTTAAACCCGTTTGGACCAGTTTTGAACAGCGTAAACCAGTTTGGGCCAGTTTAGACCACTTTGGACCAGTGGAGGAAGTTTAGACCAGTTCAAAATGATTTAAGTTAGTCCAGTTCAAGAGAAAGAATGTGCTCAATGTGCAGATGAAAGACTCCAGACCAGTTAAGTCCGGTTTAAACCATCTTAGACCTGTTTTTGCCTGTTCAAAATTATTTAGACCATTGCAAATACGACATAATGAAGTAAACGAACTGCAGATATTTTCCCCTTCAGCATGGCAGTGTGTCTGGTTCTATTTCTCCTGCTGTGTTTCTAATACTAAACACTAATTTCTAAAGCATGATCTGATTCAAATCTGGATAAATCCTCGACTCCAGCCTCTGTTTTGTTTGATCTTAAAATTGCTTTCTACGTTATTCTGTTTCTTGTATAATTTGTTTCTTTCTTCTGTTTTCTTCCGTTCTGCACGTTTGTCTTTTCCTTCAGCTCATGACGTCCAACACTCAGATGGTAAGACTTGCACCTGTGAGGCTAGCGTTAGCATTAGCTTTGTAGCTCAACACTTGATGCTTAGACCTGCTCTTGTGAGGCTGGTGTTAGCTTTAGCCTCATAGCTCTTTCATTTAACCCTTTCATGGCATGTCCAGATGTTTAACAGCTTGTAACATCAACTCCACTCAAAGTAGAGGAATTATTCTGTTTGGAGCACACCAAAACATCAATGTCTGCTTTTATAACACATGTGTTCACAACCAACACAAACACAATATTTTTCTGTATTTAAATCCTGTCCTTCACAGATGTTTGGAAACTGGACGTTTGGGACACTGGTTTTCACTGTTCTGGTTTTCACGGTCACCTTCAAGGTAATTACTACTTTTTTATACACTGAGTCACTATTAGACTGACTCTTTGGTCTCTCTCTCTGGTTCCTCTCTGGTCTCTCTCTGGTTCCTCTCTGGTCTCTCTCTGGTCTCTCTCTGGTCTCTCTCTGGTCTCTCTCTCCGTCTTTCTCTCCTGGTTCAGGCACACATGGTGACAGATTCTGTGTTCTCCTCAGTTGGCGCTCGACACTCACTACTGGACCTGGATCAACCACTTTGTGATCTGGGGCTCGCTGCTCTTCTATGTGGTCTTCTCTCTTCTGTGGGGAGGGATCATCTGGTCAGTCCACATTTACCAAACACTACTGCAATGTCCAATGCTCTGTGGTCATGTGACATCAGCACACTCCAAAGAGCGATAGTTTTACATTGTGGAGTCAAGTCAGATTCTGGTCTTAGTTCAGAGCAAACTTCTCTGTTTTCCTCAAACAATCCACACGAAACAGACTCAAAAGGTTCTTTAAAATGTGCTGATGTCACATGAACACAAACTGTGGCTTTAGTCTTTAACCAAGACATCACAGCTTGTTTATACCATTATTGTCATACACTGGTCCCCCACTGTAACGCGGCTCACCCATCCAGGCCTTTTTTGAGCTTCACGTGCTTTGTGTGTCTTTACTCCAACAACATCATAAAACCACTTGTCTCTTTCTGGATTCTGTCTCTCTCTCGGATATTTCTCTCTGGTCTCTCTCTCTGGTCTCTCTTTGGTCCCTCTCTGTTTTGTTTTGGTCTAACACCTGGTGTGTCCTCAGGCCGTTCCTGAACTACCAGCGCATGTATTACGTCTTCATGCAGATGTTGGCGAGTGGCCCGGCCTGGCTCAGCATCATCCTGCTCACCACGGCCTGCTTAGTGCCTGATGTGGCCAAGAGTGTCCTGTGGAGGGCGCTGTGGCCTAGCACCACAGAGAAGATCCAGGTGAGACATGAACCAGAGAGACATAAACGAGAGAGAATGAGAAGCTTAAGGACTAGTAAGCAATGTTCCCTCTAATTTTTCATGGGTCAGGGGAAAAACACAAACCCCCTGAGCGGCACGTGGAACACGCTGAGCGAGAGATCTCTGTAGAAAACCATTCACATTTGGATACACCTTCTGTATACACATGCTGTATACACATGCTGTACACACCTGCTGTATACACCTGCTGTATACACCTGCTGTATACACCTGCTGTATACACCTGCTGTATACACCTGCTGTATACACCTGCTGTATACACCTGCTGTATGCGAGTTCACGGTGTGCAGGGTGCAGTTGGTCCGAGCCCTGTTCTGGATCAAACGCAGCTTCAGACTTCTGTGTCGGCGCTTCTCCCGCACTCGCGGACAGTGAACCTCATGGTCACAGACAGAGAGGCTCTGACTTTTCTTTTTTTTTCTTTTTGAGAATGAAGCCTGCGCAGATCCACGTGGTCCATACACTGTTGAAATATTTGCCCGCGTCGTTTGTGCTGGAGGCACAGGACGCTGGATTTTCATTGTGTGCGCAGGAAAGAGTTGTCTGTGCACTGAGACCCTAAAAGCACTTTGCACGCGCGCAACTTAGAGGGAACATTGCTAGTAATTTTAGCTTATATATATATATTTATATTTCTCATTTTCATTTTATGTGTGTTGTCATGTGAAACACTACATTAGGAGAAGAAATTATTATTTTAGTTTAGTTTTTATAGCATTATTTATAGTATTAACTTGCGCTTGTTGTTTTGAGTATAATGAATGATTAAATTATTTAAAATCCTTTAAAATTAGACATAACTTGCAATGGCGGCATATCAGCCGGAATGGAAGGATGCGTCCCAAACCTCTCCTTGTCTCCTCCATTCACACAGAGAAATAAGGATTGGTATTTGGGATGCAACCACAGATTTCAGCTGTTACAGTAATAATATACTATATGGTCCAGACCTGGTCCAGGACTCGGTGTAGTTGTGGTGTGAGTCTGATCAGTTGCTTTGATCAGGTGCTTGCTGGTAAACGTTACCGCTCCTCTCTCCATGTGAGTAGTCTGTGTGAGTGTGCAGTGCTCTCAGTGTGCTGTCTGCTGTGTGCAGTACCACCATTGGCCACTAGTCACATCCTGGAGCATCACAGATCATAGAATTATGCAGCACCATGAGGATAACAGCAAAGTATTTGCCACTAACCTATTCCTTTTCTCTCCCTTTGTCTCCTAACCTCTCACTCCTCTCCTCCCCTCCCCCTTTCATTTCATCTTTCTCCTCTCCTCTTTCCCCCCTTTTCCTCTCTTCACCTCCACTCCTCTCATCCCTCTCCTCCTCTCTCCTCTCCTCCTCTCTCCCCGCTCCTCAGTGTAAGAAGCACACCCTATCCTCTGAACACTCCACTATCTTCATGCTGACCTCCACCAGCTCCAGCAAACTCAGCCTGTAGCTCCTCAGGTGACCCCCATCCTCCTCCTCTCCTCCTCTTCTCGTGTTCCTCCTGCATGACTCGTTTGCGTCTCCTCATTTCGTCGTGATCGCTGTAGTTCTGATGTTGGTGTAAACACTTTGATTGCAGCGGCTCTCTGACCTGGAGCTGCAGGAACACAGCAGCTCAGACTCTCTGTTAGACCCAGTATCCACCAGAGCCTGACCCTGGTATGTGTGTGTGTGTGTGTGTGTGTGTGTGTGTGTGTGTGTGTGTGTGTGCGTGTGTGTGTGTGTCATTCCAACCACTGGGAGTGCTGTGAGCAAGCCCCTTGTCGCTGGTGTCTCAGGTCTCTTCTGCATGAAGCTGGTATGGTTCTGCATGAGGGTTGATGGTTCCGCTTGAGAGTTGATGGTTCAAGTCCATGCACTGAGCAGCATTTGACATTTAACACAGACACAAAGATTTACTGTAGGAGCTTGAACAATCGTCTTCTTCAAACACATCGCACTCAGCTGCTCAGTACTGAGGACCTGAGACACTGTCTATGGTTTCTCTCTGGTCTCTCGCTGGTCTCTTTCTAATCTCTGGTCTCTCTCTGATCTCTCTGGTCTGGTCTCTCTGGTCTCTCTCTCTGGTTTTTCGTATTGGGGTGGTTTCTCTCTCTCTTCATGGTTCATAGTTCCACATCTGGCTCTCTGGGTGGAGTCCAGCTGCATCTGTGTGTGTTCATTTGCATGTTCTCCTCGTCCTCAGCTCGCAGACCGCTTGTACCAGGGACACCTCGCAGACTTCACCCCACTCACCTCACTCCGCTCTGGGCTCGAGCAGGACCAGCACAGCCGGTGGCAACAGGAGGACCAGCACAGCAGGTCTGGAGCACACAAACCCATGGACACCAGGTGTCCCAGCAGGTCTGGAGCACACAAGCTCATGGTTACCAGGTGGCGCTGTAGAGCCTTCCCTCCTCTGCTGCTGCCCGGCTTCAGCTCTGTGTCGAAGTACGGAGGAACAGGGACAGAGACGTTGATCTGAGATCACAGCTTTAAGGCTTTTACAGATCACAGGAGAGAGGAGCACCACCTTAAAGTTCTGTTTAAAGCTCTGTTTAAAGTTCTGTTTAAAGCTATGTTCAAAGCTCTGTTTAAAGCTCTGTTTGAAGTTCTGTTTAAAGCTATGTTCAAAGCTCTGTTTAAAGCTCTGTTTAAAGCTGGGGTACACAATTTTCAGCAGTGTTGGACAAGTTACTTTACTTGATGCACACTGGGGTAGTCTTGCACAGTTTTTCCAGTGTGGTTTTACTGCAAATGGCAAACAATTTTTTGGATGAATGATGTGTTACACTATTACTGTCTCTGAATTGTAAAGCAGTACACTACTATTCTTTGAAGTTACTTTCAGCAAATATATTAATAGAGCTTTTGGGTTGAACAGAAACTTAACTGTTATGTTCCACATCTTTGTTTTCAGCAAACTCTAAATAATAACTCCATCTTTAAAATCCACGTAGAGCTGCTTCTGCTTCAGCGTTAGCCATCTTTGACCAGAGTAACAACAAGTAGGCAAGTACTATCGTTTACTATTGTTTAGAGACTATAAAAACAAATCAGCACGTTACTGACCTTTTTACCCATAACATTGCCGCAAGAAGTACATTTCAATCAGTACTTTTGGAAGATGATTCTCCAGACACTGACTTTCCGACCACAACAACAGGACTATGTGATCTCTCGCTGTTCAGAGAGACCAGCGAGAGAGACCAGTGAGAGAGAGACCAGTGAGAGAGAGACCAGTGAGAGAGAGACCAGTGAGAGAGAGACCAGTGAGAGAGAGACCAGTGAGAGAGAGACCAGTGAGAGAGAGACCAGCGAGAGAGACCAGTGAGAGAGAAACCAGTGAGAGAGAGACCAGTGAGAGAGAGACCAGCGAGAGAGACCAGAGAGAGAGAAACCAGTGAGAGAGAGACCAGTGAGAGAGACCAGAGAGAGAGAGACCAGTGAGAGAGAGACCAGCAAGAGAGACCAGAGGAGAGAGACCCTGTGACTCTCAGGGCTCTTTCTTACAGATGTTTCTAATTAGATGAAGCATATTTGTTTAATGTTGTCTAAATATTATAAATATATTGTTTAAACTCTTTCTGTTGGACACAAACTAAAAAGTGAGGTACCCCAGCTTTAAACTCTGCGGTTAAAGCCTTCACGTGTGTTTGGACCTCAGGATCACCCGTGCAGCTGTTGAAATCTGCACTGGACTTTAATGTTTTATTCTTGTGTTAATGTTTGTCAGTGTTTCTGTTGCTTGAACTTACTCTGTTGTTCCTGTGTTGGCCTGCGGATGGCGCTCTCCTCTGTGTCCTCAGACCGACCTGGTGTGGGCCGTGTGCCAGCGCTCTGCCCCGGACCTCCCCCTGAGCACTTTGTAAGGAGCTAGGACTCAGGAGTTAGGAACCAGGATCTAGGACCCAGAAGCTAGGACCCAGGAGCTAGGACCCAGGAGCTAGGACCAGGAGCTATAGGACCCAGGAGCTAGGACCCAGGAGCTAGGACCCAGGAGCTAGGACCCAGGAGCTAGGACCCAGGAGCTAGGACCCAGGAGCTAGGACCCAGGAGCAAGGACCTAGGACCCAGGATTAAGGATCTAGAAGCTAGGACCCAGGAGCTATGACACAGGAGTTTAGAGACAAGAGCTAGTACCCAGGAGTTAGAAGTCAGGAGCTAGGACCTAGGACCTAGGACACTGGAGCTAGGATCCAGGAGCTAGGAGATAGGAGCTATGACACAGAAGTTAGGAGGCAGGAGCTAGGACCCAGGAGCTTGGACCCAGGAGCTAGGTCCCAAGAGCTAGGACATAGGTGTTAGGAGACAGGAGCTAGCACACAAGAGCTAGGGCACAGGAGTTAGGAGACAGGAGCTAGGATCCAAGAGCTAGGACACAGGAGCTAGAAGACTGGAGCTAGGAACAAGTGGTGGAAATGGGTTTCAACACGACACCTGGAGAAGCGTTTCCTCCGCCCAATAAATAAAGGTTACAGATGTTCACTGTGGCGCCACCTGCAGGTGACAATTACACACAATTTATTCTTGTATAGCCCTAAATCACAACAAAAGTCATCTCAGAGGACTTAACAAAACCATTGAATCACCAACACAGGTCAGAGAATAAACAGTTAAAACACATGAAAAATATAAAGCACACACAGAAGAAAATGTCCATACATGTTGTAGAATGTTAAAGTGTCCTAGATCATCACCACATCCTTTTTGTTGGACACTAACTGTCCAACAAGACCCTCCTGCATCGGGAAGGAAAAACAAACAGAAAACCCCAGTGGGAAAAAGTGAGAAACCTCGGGGAGACCCACAGGTTGAGAAAGGGATCCGCTCCCACGGACGGACGGGCTATAGATCCAGGACCTAAGCTACAGAACGTGGACCAGTGGCCGTTGAAAGTGGACAGGTCAGGTGCAGGACTGAAGAACTCCCAGGCAGCCTGATCATGTCAGATCTCAGGAGCTAAGCAAGGCACAGCCTAGTTAGTGCTATGATGGGAGACCTCTATAACACCAGGTGCCACAGTGAATATTAAAAATAAAACCAATTTCTTATTTAGAATGAAATAAACCATAGGGATTTTAGGCTTTGGAATAGATGTATGTTTGTTAGACTGCAGGTTCAAAGCTCGCATTGGGTTTGGTGATCCGCACTGAGACATGATGAGCACATTTCTATCACTTGAATAGTTTTAGATTAGAGAGTGTAGTTGTTTTGTTCTGTAGAGTGTTTCTCGGTGCTAGACTGAGCAGCGGCAATATCCACCTCTACTTCAAAAAAGCACATGACGAATCTTTTATAGGACATTTTTGACCTATTTCGGCGCCGGGTTCAAATATAAGTTTGAACACTGCTGCAGCTGTCAAAAGCCGTGCATACACTATAAAATGTAGTGCGATATAATGAGGGACCACTGTGCTGCAGAACTGACTTTTCCTCCATGTTCCACTGATCCTATCCTGTTCTGTGTGTGACATCACAAACAGAGCAGAATGCCAGACTGTGGCACGTGCTTCTAACTGACGTACACTACAGCTTCAGCACAGACGTAACTGAGTACAATCACTGTTTTAAACCAAAGAAACTAAAAGTCTATATATGTTATGCTTTTTAAACTTTTGATCTAAATAATTTATGCCTTAGAAACACTGGATGCTACAGCCATAGGAGCACAGCGGAGGAAACTTGTATGCAGCAGTTTGAAACTTGCACTTAAAGGTGATGTCTGTAAATGCATTTCATTCTGACATTATGCCCCTTTCGCGTCGTCTATAATACATATTTTTCATTATGGATATATTTTAATCAGTCCCTCCCCCAGGAATCTTCACCAGTAAGATTTGCTGGAGGAGAATAGTTCTACCAATGAGGGGCCTTTTGTGGTTCATCAAGGATTTGAAAAACGTTTCTTCAACTTCAAAAGTAGAGATTCAGTTTAACGAGATCGGCCATTTTGTGTTAACTGTATCTTTACAAATACATTCCTCATTGTGGTTCCTCAAGTGTCCAAAGATGATTCCCAAAAAGCCGTTTAAGTGACTCATATTTTTGTAATATTCTACAGAGTTGTTGCTGCTGCTTTAATCCCTTTAATCCCAAGACACTGTGTGAATGAGGCCTGAGTTTCTCACACGCATCTCGGTGACAAACACAGGCCTCATCACAGAACATGAAAGTATGTTGTGTTGTGATCTGTTAAACAATTAACTTTTCTATTTTTCTTGCTTTCTGCTGATAAGTGGATTTTCTTCCGGTTGCAAATCTTGACTTTTCCTGTTTGTTATTTAGATTAACATACGTTTTTAGCCCCGGCCTCGTTAGCCTGTTAGCTTTAGCAATGTTAGCACGACTGCCTTAGTTCTATTAGCCTTAGCTCTGTTAGCCTTATCACTGTTAGCCTTAGCTCTTTCAGAAATATGATCTTCTAAGGAGTTATTTTTTGTATTTGTTTTTGTATTTTCATCAAAGTGTTAAAATGTATAAAATATTTAATCAAAGTGTATGTATATATATGTATATATATATAAAGCTGATCAAATATAAATATCATCATTAACCTTAGCTGTTACCCAGTCAGTCTATGCATCAGCAATAGCCTCTTAGCCTTAGCTCTGTTACCCTGTTGGCCTTAGCCTAGCTCCGTTAGCTAGTTAGCTATGTTGGCCTTAGCTCCGTTAGCCAGTAAGCCTTACCGTTGTTAGCTTTCACAAAGATGATCAAACTAAATGAATGTTTTATATTTGTTTTTGTATTTATAAAGTTTTCTACAAATGTCTCCAAAGTGTTAAATACATGATATATGTGTGATCAAATACAAACTATTTATATTGTGAACTTAAAGCAGTAAAATATAAAATACTCGGTTTGGGATCAAAGTATGAGAACTCCACTTCCCATGAGCACTTGCTGCAGGTGTTTTGCCTTTGACTTTACCAACACTGAGTATGATGTAAATGTGTTTAAAGCTACATAGTCTTGAATGTATGTTTACTTTGAGAGAACATGGACTAAAACGCCTCTGATCGCCCACTTGTAAACACTGGATTCTGTAAATATGTAACGCAGCACCGATTAATCACTGTAATGTTTTTTTTTTTCTGTAAATAAATTCAAATGTTGTGATTGTTGTGAGGTGCACTGACACACCACTGTAGAAATATAGCCATATATTTACTGGAGAGTTCCTATACCACCACTACTGCTACAGTTACTTCCACTACTTCTACTACCACTACTACTAATGCTGCTGTCTACACTACTATTACTACTGCTACCACAAAATCTGTGGAATTCGTAGTAGTAGTAGTTTGTAGTATTTCAACATCCGTAGTAATTCTTACAAATTCCTGCTCAAGCTACTAAGGTCTAACAACAATGAGAAAAGCATAATGCATTTAAGTAAGTAATATCGTCCAAGAATGCACTTATTTGGGACTCAGAAAGAAAGGAGTCAGGCTAAACACAATGTAGCAGTAGAAACAGTGGTAGTAGCAGCAGTAGTAGTGATCTGCCAATAGTATTTATTTACTATTGCAACTATACTCAAACTCAAATGATCAGTATATAAGTATACTGTACAAATATCTAAAAACTAATTTTATACTTGATTTCTTGTGGTTCACTGCTCTTATGTCTGTGGTGATGTAAATTTGAGGCTTCAGAATAAAAAGTTACATCAAACGGTTGTAGTGTTCAGTGGTGGACACATGGGGGCGACAAAGGCCAAGACACCAGCCCGTGATCAACTAGATTTCATCAGTACAAATATAACTGTTTAACTGGTCTTTCAAAACCACAACTGTAGAACACAAATCAAATAAAGTGTCCTGAGTTCCTGGCTCTAAAACAGTTGCTTCTAACTCTAGATTCATGTATTTTTAAGATGAAGATAAAGATATCCTTCATTTGTCCCACAGTGGGGAAACGTCAGTGTTGCATCTTCAGTTGCAGTCAAAACAGTAGAAATGAGGAGGACACACTACAAGATAAGTGAGAAATTTCTCCAAAATAGAATATATATATAAAAATATATAAAAAAACAAATATAAAATGTTGGCCTCACATCTTTAGACCAGCTGTCTCAAACATAAAGGTGAATAAGAGTACCACCCTCACTCAGCCAATCAGAAAGTATTAAGATTATTGTGGAGTAGTATAAATTTACAGATTAGGCTCCTCCCCTCTGAACTCTGGATTCGCAGGTCTATACACAAATGAGATTACACCATTTTAAATCTGTTGCTTTGATTTTCTCTTCTCAATTTTCATAGTATTTTCTCCTCAACTTATTCTCAAGATCTTGTTTAAGAGACATTTGTGACTGTGTTAGAAGGTGCTGTGAACACAGGGACTGGCGACAGGCCCAGTTTGTCTCTGATTCTCTCCATAACATTTTTAATCTGAGAGATTATCAAGAGAAATGGGGCAGAAGTGTGAAGCTGCAGACGACTGTGACAGGAGGCGAGAGTGGAGTGAAGGGAAAGAAAGGGGAGAGAGGAGAGTGAGGTGAGACTGGGGGGAGAGAGAGGGGAGTGGGGTGAGAGAGGAAAGGGGAGTGAGGGGAGACAGCGGTGAGAGAGGTGAGAGTGAGGGGAGAGAGAGGACAGAGAGGTGAGATGGATGAGAGTGAGGGGAGAGAGAGGTGAGATGGGTGAGAGAGGAAAGGGGAGTGAGGGGAGACAGGGGTGAGAGAGGTGAGATGGATGAGAGTGAGGGGAGAGAGATGGGTGACAGAGAGAGGGGAGACAGGAGAGAGAGGGGAGTGAGGAAATAAAAGAGGAGAGGAGAAAGGGGAGAGAGCAAAGACAGAGAGTCGAAGAAAGAAAGGAGAGGAGAGAGAGGAGGGGGGAGACAGAAAACAGCTCCACGGCTCGTTCCTCAGTGATTATGCCGAGTCCCGGTGTTGTGTGTGTCGTTCTTCTGCAGCGGCTACAAAACAGATTAATGTTTTGCGTCTAAAGATTAGGTCAAAAGGTGGGTTAAATGCAGAGCCGCCAAGACACACCAGCCTGTGTCTCTCTGTGCGGGAGAAGAGACGCAGGGTTTTTGCTCAGGAGGAAAGAGGCCTAAGAACTGTCTTGTTCATTGGAAAATCGATTTTTAGAAGTGATTATTGAGCGCAGATCTTAAGGAGTGTATAGGGAGAAAAGCTTTCGACTGCAATCCTGATGGCTCCTGCTGGGTCCTGCTGGGTCTCGTTCTGTCCTGCTGGGTCTGGCTTGGTCCAGGTCTCGATCCTCTCCTCAGAGACCGTTTTACTGCACTTTCCACATGTCTCCCACTGGCTCCACACAAAGAAAGGCCAGACATGTGGCTTCTCTCTCATAAAAAACATGTGTAATTTTCCCAACAGAAAGAACTGTGACTCTTGGAGCTGATGTGATGATGTGAAAAGTTATGATAAAGAAATTGTTTTAAAGCCAGGAGCATGGGTTTTGTGTAGTTCTATTGTTGTGGTTTTAAAGTTAAGTTCCCCATCGTTAACTAAGAAGCACTCATGAGTAAAACCTAAAGATGCATTTTCACACAATGTTTTAAACTGTACTCTGACCAGAGAGAGAGAAAGACCAGAAAGAAAGAGATCAGAGTCCAGCATATGTTATAAGATAAAGGTACGTATCGCAGCTTTAATAACTTTTGGTGCAGTGTTTGTGTGTTCGTGTGTCTCTGTATGTGTGTGTGTGTGTGTATGTGTATGTGTATGTGTGTGTGTGTGTGTGTGTGTGTGTGTGTGTGTGTGTCTGCGTGTGTGTGTTCAGTTATCTCCAGAGCGCAGAGAGTAGCGCCCCCCGCAGACCACAGCCAGCGTGCGCACTTCTTTGTGTTGCGCCGTCGCTAAGGTGCTTTAGCCCGGATTAGCCGCCGCGCATTAGCCTAGCACAGGGGATTAAGCTGGATGCCACGGAGATGGATCCAACATGAAACAAGACTTAAGTTTAAAAACACCCACCGCAATTTTACACAAAACTAAACTTTTGCAGTCCTGCTTTAGACCTGGTTTCAGACCAAGTGAATTTATTTTTCAGTCCTGGTTCAGCCTTCACAGTTAGAAAGTCCTGGGTTCTATTCCACCTCCAGACCTTTCTGTGTGGAGGTTTCTTCCAGGTGCTCCGGTTTCCAGTGGGTCTGGCATGCACCTCCTGTAGACGGACCCGCCCACATCTCTGTGTGGAGTGAGAGACAAATGCCCACTATTGTAAAAGTGCTTTGTGACTTTGGTCTCTGAAAGACCCTGGTTTAGTCTAGTTTGAATCTGGTTCAGTCCTGGATCAGTTCTGACTCAGTCCTGATCCACGTTTCGTTTTGTTGCGTCATATTTTCACCTCGGGGCCAAAGCAAAAATAATCCTGTTTATTTTACATCCTCAACATGATTTAAGACCAGTATTTATAGACAGGGCCTGGAGCCGCAGGAGTGAACCAGGTCTGAAACCAGGACTGAACCAGGACTGAACAAGTTCTGACGTCTTTACACATTGCGTACTCTACTTCAGAGTTGAACAGAGGGAAATATACGAGTGTGGCATATCATTTATTATGAAGTAATAAATATAAAAGAGATTAAAGCTCATGCATGTAAATCACAGAAGAATTATGACACAGACCAGAATTCAAAATAAACATTAGACAAAACAGCATTTCCACATTACACAACAAACACAAGAGCCCATATAGGCCCAGACCGCAGACCTAGATCCAAACCCAGGCCCAGGCCTAACTGTTAAATGTGCGTGAGCGGTGTGGTCCCGTGCTGTGGTTGCAGCGCGTGCTCCGCGGGGAGGTACACGCGGATCATGTCATGCAGCTCTGGCGTGGGACTCATGCTGGGTTCGTGCTTGAGGCTAGGGGACGCGCAGGGGCCCTGGTGTGTATGCGTGTATCCGGTGAGTCCTCCGTAGCCCTGCACGTGCACGGAGTTGTACGTGAGCGCGCTCACGTCGTAGCGGTGCAGATGTGGAGGGCTGGTGTGTTGCGCGTACAGCTCGTGCATCATTGGTCCTGCACCGCTCCAGCCGCTCAGCGCGTAGGGCTCCATGCGCGTGCACGGGGACTCCATTTGCATGCGCGTGGAATCTGAGTCCCCGCTGCTGTACCTGTCCTTTCGCAGCAGTGCCTTCTTCCGCCGCGGCCGGTACTTGTAGTCCGGGTGCTCGTGCATGTGCTGCGCGCGCAACCGCTTGGCTTCGTCTATAAACGGCCTCTTGTCTGCGTCGCTCATGCGCTTCCAACGCGCGCCCAGTCTGCGGCTGATCTCAGAGTTGTGTAACTTTGGGTTTGAGTGCGCAACACTGCGCCGCTCCGCCCGAGACCACACCATGAAGGCGTTCATGGGCCTTTTGATACGCGCGGCTGAGGGGGGAGGGGGGAGAGAGGGGGGGTCAGGCTGAAGCATTGAGGTGTCAGTCCCTCACGGACCAAGTCAGTCCCTCACACCGACCACGTCAGTCCCTCACACAGACCAAGTCAGTCCCTCACACAGACCAAGTCAGTCCCTCAGACGCAGAAGCAGCACGTGCACCAGTGTTTTGTCCGTGCGCGTTCACAGAGTGAGTCTGTAGTCTTTAGTTTATAGTTTCTCCCCTCTGTGCGCGTGGGGAGTCTCCTGTGGTGCGCGGAGAGCGCGTAGAGCCGCGGTATCTCTGGTCTTTAGTTCATTCTTGTTCCTCTGCGCGTAGAGCCGCGGTCCTCACTTGTTGCGCACGGACCGAGAGTGCGTGGAGCTGTTGTTTGGACTGAGAATTAGAGTTAGAGTTGAAGTTAGAGTTAGAGTTGGAGCTTGTGCTGGTCTGTTGTAATCAATGCGGAGAGAATGTCAGAGCTGCGGTCTCTTTAGTTCAGTCACTTTTCTCTGTGCGCGTGGAGCTGTCTCTGTTCTTCTCTCTCGATCTTGTCTCTGTGGTTCTGGTCTCTGTGGTGCTTGTCTTTGTGGCTCTCTGTGGTTCTGGTCTCTGTGCTTGTGGAGCTGTTGTTTGGACCAAAAGTTGGAGCGTGTTCCACTCGGGTCACCTGTCACAAGCGCAGAGAAGCGCCGGAGCCGCGGTCTCAATAATCTTAAGATCACTTTCCTCTGTTCCAGCCTGGTCTCTGTCCTCTCTGTCTCGCTGGTTCCAGTCTGGTCTCTGTCCTCTCTGGTTCTCGCTGGTCCCAGTCTGGTGTCTGTGGTTTTCTCCTGTGGCGCGCGGAGTCTTTAGTTCAGTCTTTTTTCTCTCTTGACTCTGAGCGCAGGGACCAATGAAGACTCTGTGACGTGAGCAGCAGTCACGTGACCTCACAGTGACTTTAAAACAACAATTATGCAGGACTGAACTAGGTCTAAAGCAGGACTGGGCTCGGACTAAAGCAGGTCTAAAGCCAATCTGAAGCAGGACTGGACTAGTCTATAACAGGACTGAAGGAAGTCAAAAGCAGGACTGCACTAGTGGGCTAGGACTAAAGTAGGTCCAAAGCAGGACTGGACCAGGTTTAAAGCAGGAGGTGACAATGTTAAATTTGGTGTTGATGATCTGGTTCACTTGATCTGTAGCATTCACTTTCAACAGTTTTGTTGTTTTCACACTTTCTCAATGTTGAAGAAAGCAGTATTCTTTTCTAACACTTTATCTTCACACTAACACCAGTGCAGTAACACCATAGGTGTAGTGTTGAATTCAACAATATATTGATTCAACTAATATAAACATTAACATTATTGAAAATGTTTGTTCAACACTAAAGAGTGTGGATGCATATAGACACGTTAATTAATTAACACTGGATGTTAATTTGACCCTGACAACTTTGCAGTGTCAGGACTGGACCATAGACCGTTATAATCATGGATGTAGTCACGCCAATCTCTACTGTTGAAACTAATGTGCCACCACTATCGCCTTCTGTGAGCTGGGGCCTGCCCCCACTGGACTGGACTAGGACTGGACCAGGACTGGACCAGGACTGGACTGGACTCCACACCTGACAGACATAATTGCGTACATTTCTGTCTTTTTAAAAATCAATATGAGACGTGTCACTAAACGCTCTGTTTTATCTGCTACATTTACCACAGATTACACTGTCACCAGGAGGAGGAGGAGGAGGAGGAGAGGGGAGAGAGAGGAGGAGGAGGAGGAGGAGAGGGGAGAGAGAGGAGGAGGAGGAGGAGAGAGGGGAGAGAGAGGAGGAGGAGGAGGAGGAGGAGAGGGGAGAGAGAGGAGGAGGAGGAGGAGGAGAGGGGGAAGAAAGGAAGGGAGAAGAGGAGCAGAGGGGAGACGAGAAAGAAGGAGGACTTGAAATCTTTGTTGTTGTAGCAGCAGTAAGTTTGGAAACAGCACTGAGACAGAAGAGGCAGACACTTACATCACACCGCCCTCGTAGAGCACAGACCTCCTCCAGGAGGCAGTGCTGCTGATGACATTGATGCTGGTTGTAATCAGGGCTCGTTAGTGCAGCTGTGACTTTAATCAGAGAAGTCGCTCAGACCTGTTATTATCCAAATCATGTGTTTTTATCTCAGACACATGTTTACAACAGGGCAGGGGTCAGAGGACCCAGAGTGAAGGGTGTTTGAGAATCTAGAATCCCTCATTAAAACTGCGATACCTAACTTTAAAACCATTACATAACTAAAAAAATAATTTCACGTCTTCACATCAAAGAGAGGACCTCGGCCCAAAGAGACAGATTCTGACTCCCAGGGCTCTGTCTGACACAGAGGTGAAACATATATGTTGAAAAAATTGTGATGATAATTTTTTGTTTAGAACGTGTCACAGTGGATTGAAAAAGTATTCATTCGTCTTGAACGTTTTGTCTCCAGCCCAAGTTTGGCAGATTTTGATTTCACAACATAAACAGGAGGAGCCAAACTTCATCATGAGCACTTCTCTAGTACAGTCTGTGTTAGCATTGTCCATCTGTACACAGTCTGTGTTAGCATTGTCCATCTGTTGTCTGTGGTCTGGACCCTAGTCTGGGCCATTCTAAATTGTGAGTATATTTAGAAAGACTGCAGCTCCTCCAGAGTAACCATGGGCCTCTCGTCTGCATCTGTGATCCATGATTGAGATTTTGCAGACTGCCGTGTCTTGGTGAGTTTGCAGTGGGTGAAGGATAAAACCTGCCTGATCCCTCACAGGCGGCGTCCATGGAGAGGAGAGCGGTCTGAGGCTCTGACAGATGCTTTAACAGCAGTGACCTAGAGCAGACAGCACTTCATCCAGAGCAATTATCAGCATCATTACTGTCACAGAAATGCATTTAACTGAGAGCAGCGCAGTGGAGCAGCGGCTGAAGCACGCAGCACTTTAACAAGACGCACACGGCACTTCAGAGCGATCACGGGCAAATGCATTGTTAATAACTCACACACACAAGGGTTTAGAACTGGAAAAGTACAGCTTTAAATCATGGATCTTAAGGAGACAAAAACGTGAGGTTTAGTCCTGCTTTAGACCTGCTTTAAATGTAAATGTGCACTTTATTGTCCTCATAGGGAAATGTGTCCTCTGCATTTGACCCATCCTGATCCCACGAAGTCAGGAGCAGTGGTCGCTATAGCACAGCGCCCGGGAACCCATCTCCAGATGTTGATCCTTGGCTTGGTCAGGACTTTACCTGTTGAGCATATTTTTAGACCTGCTTTAGACCTGCTTTAGTCCTGCTTTAGTCCTGCTTTAGTCCTGCTTTAGTCCTGCTTTAGTTCTGCTTTAGTCCTGCTTTAGACCTGCTTTAGTCCTGCTTTAGTTCTGCTTTAGTTCTGCTTTAGTTCTGCTTTAGTTCTGCTTTAGTTCTGCTTTAGTTCTGCTTGGATAAAACGTCCGTGTTTTATCCAAAACATAATGTGTCTTATCCAAACTGTCCTGTGATATGTATGTTACTGCTCTCTGCTGTTTATTCTACAGTTTGTCGCACGTGCACAAGCTCTGGTGTGTGTCGTCTTCTCTGTCTGGTGCACACTGGGGGAGTCTTGCACAGTTTTTCCAATGTGGTTTTACTGCAAATGGCAAATAAATGAATCTGAATCTGCTGCTTTAGACCTGCTTTAGTCCTGCTTTAGACTTGCTTTAGTCCTGCTTTAGTCCTCTTTAGTCCTGCTTTAGTCCTGCTTTAGACCTGCTTTAGTCCTGCTTTAGACCTGCTTTAGACCTGCTTTAGTCCTGCTTTAGTCCTGCTTTAGTCCTGAATTAGTCCTGCTTTAGACCTGCTTTAGTACTGCTTTAGTCCTGCTTTAGACCTGCTTTAGACCTGCTTTAGTCCTGCTTTAGTCCTGCTTTAGACCTGCTTTAGTCCTGAATTAGTCCTGCTTTAGACCTGCTCTAGTCCTGCTTTAGACCTGCTTTAGTCCTGCTTTAGTCCTGCTTTAGTCCTGCTTTAGACCTGCTTTAGTCCTGCTTTAGACCTGCTTTAGACCTGCTTTAGTCCTGCTTTAGTCCTGCTTTAGTCCTGCTTTAGACCTGCATTAGTCCTGAATTAGTCCTGCTTTAGTCCTGCTTTAGTCCTGCTTTAGACCTGCTTTATTCCTGCTTTAGCCCTGCTTTAGTCCTGCTTTAGCCCTGCTTTAGTCCTGCTTTAGTCCTGCTTTAGACCTGCTTTATTCCTGAATTAGTCCTACTTTAGTCCTGCTTTAGTTCAGACCTCTACAACAGTGTGAGAAATCTTAAATATATAAACAAATTGTTGGGCAAATATTTACTGACCTTTTCCCACTTTGGGACGAATAAAGGATTCATAATCTTATTACACTGTTTACTAAACGTAACTTTGGCCCAGGGCTCGTTAGGACATAAATCACAGAAACATGTGTCTTTGATCTGACGTCTGTTTAACTAACGAGGCTCCAATCAAGTGTTTAATTAATGAGACATACACACACACACACACACATACACACACACACACGCACACACACAGACACACACACACACAGACACACACACACACACACAGACACAGACACACAAACACACACACACACACACTGACACACACAGACAGACAGACACACACACACACACACACACACACACAGACACACACACACACACACAGACACACACACACACACACACACACACACACACACACACACACAGACACACAGACACACACACACACACACACAGACACACACACACACACACACAGACACACACACACACACACACACACACACGCACACACAGAGACACACACACACACACAGACACACACACACACAGGTGAAATAAAGCTGTTTAAAGTCCATGTGGCAGAATGTGTCTCAAACAGAACAGTTGTGTTTAATCCAGACTCCAGCAGCAGAACAACAGGACGTCTGCTTCTACTCAGAGGGGAGTTAATGAGACTAAGCAATTAGTTCATCAAAGACATTTAAAAGAAGGACTAAAGCAGGAATCAAGCAGGACAAGAGCAGGTCTAAAGCAGGTCTTAAGCCCTTTTCAGAACCATGGACAGCTCTTCTGCTCAGGCCATTTTTTTCTTCTTCTGATCTTTCATTATTATTAAACCCAATATTGCTCAGACATTTCATGTGACATCAGCATGATCCAAAGAGCGATGGTTTCATGTTCGCTCTGGTCATAATATGGTCAAAACATTTAATTATAAATATTTATATATGAAAATGTAAAAAAAAATTATAGATCAGAAGAAAAAATATATATATATATTTATCCAATCATGGATGACCATGTGGAGCACCGTCCTGGTCCCTGACAGAGTGACGATAAAGAAAAACTGTATTTGTGAAAACAGGGCTATGGAGACTTTTTCATCATAATATGTGAGCTCCACTTATCTGGGAGTCTAGTCCAGTCTGGTCTAAGGTCTGTGGTCTCAGATGAGTCCAGTCTGGTCTCAGATCTTGTCTGGTCTTGAAGCGGACTCCATCTGCTCCTCTGCTGTTGCCTGATTGTTTACGAAGCCACAGATCTAAGAAACACTTTGATCAGAATCATTCTATAGATCACAGGCAGAGATCAGAGGCCAGAGGTCTGAACCAGGTCTGTACCAGGTCTGAACCAGGTCTGAACTAGGTCTGAACTAGGTCTGAACCAGGTCTGAACCAGGTCTGAACCAGGTCTGAACCAGGTCTGAACCAGGTCTGAACAAGCAGTAAAACAACTTTCAGCACCATGGACAGCTCATACGCTCAGGCGCTCTGTTTTATTTGTGTTTTTAGACTCTTCATTATCATCAAACCCAATATTTTTCAGACAGTTCATGTTTTTCACGTTCCATAGAGCGATAGTTTCACACATTCTCCTCTTTCTCCTCCTCCACTTCCTCCTCCTGTCTGATTCTAAAACAGCACCAGGAGAACCGCTGCAGGGAGAATGCACTACTAAACCAGGACTAAAGCAGGACTAAACCAGGACTAAAGCAGGACTAAAGCAGGACTAAAGCAGGACTAAAGCAGGTCTAAAGGAGGACTAAAGCAGGACTAAAGCGACCTGCTTTAGTCCTGCTTTAGTGTTTATTGAAGAGGAGAAACTTCATGTGTAACTTAACGTTGTCTTTTCGCTGACGTTTGTTTCGTGTCACATTTGCAGAACGCCTCCAGGTTTCATCTAAACGTTGACAACAAAATCACAACTCTTCACTTTCAACACAAGCAGAGGCGGAAGAAGAGGGAGACCGGAGAAAGACCAGAGATAGAGACCAGAGAGAGAGACTAGAGAAAGAACAGAAAGAGAGACCATTGAAAAACCAGAGAAAGAGACCCAGGAGAGAGACCAGAGAGAGACCAGTAAGAGAGACCAGAGAGCCAAACCAAACCAGCTCCAAGCCTAAAGAGTCAAATAGTGCCTGAAGTTATATGGTATCTATGAAGCTTTGAAGTTACATGCCTCAGCTTTAAACAATCGCTACTGTCAAACAAACAATAAGAAAAACAAGACCGTGCTGCCGCTCTGTGTCTTACTGCAGCACTCCACCTCCGTCCATTTCCCTCACGTATTATACATTATAAAAGAATTAAAACATTATCTCGCTAAACATGATAATGAACGAAAAAACAGAGATTTCCACTTCACTAACAAAAAACCAGAGACTTGCAGCAGTAGAAAATATCAACTTAATGCCTCACTGTCCGTTAAAGACCAGATCCAACGGGACTCAGGAAGATCTGGGCATTACCCGAGGGGCATTCCCAAACTCCAAAAAATAACTTTGATAAAATTAACTGCATTATGTAAGGTATCTGTTTTGTTTAGGCGTGTATTACTCTCAATAATAATACTAATAATAATAATAATAATGATCAAAACACATTAACTATTTCTAAACATGTTATACCGCTAATTACAAAACGAATTCCTAAAACAAACATCATAAATACGATCAGTATCTGGGCATATCTCTTCTCGATATATTCTTTTTTGGACAATATGCCAAAAATAATAGCTGTAAAATGTCTGCTTGCTTACTGAATTTGATCCCACCTGTTTTAACTGTAATAAACTCCACAAAATCACATTTATTCAGTGTGGTTTTATGTGGTTAAATTACTGTAAAAGTCATTAATTGAATCGTTATAATTGTGGTGTGGCGCCCTCTAACGGACACAGAGACACACTGCACATTACGCAGATTCGAAGCTTTATTAAGTGGAATGAAAATCAAAAACAGTTATCACTAAAACAGCGCATGTGTCAACGCGAGAGAGTGAGACACGCCGTGGACACAGACTGGAACTTGTGCAGTCTGGCTGTTTAACTGATTCTGTTGTCAAAACTGAGAAAATAGAATATATATTAGAAACAATTTACTTTTTGTCTAGGTCAAAATTATATTGAAATCCAGTAATGTGATTATGTGAATGCAAACATCAGCACCAAATGTTTGATAAGGTGTTCAATGATCATAAATGAGATCTTTGTGTTTTTTTATACTCGGTTTATGTATTTATACTCACACAATGTTGTGACGGAAATTCAATACACAGAAAACGTAAGTGCAGATAAGTTCTCATTTAGAAAATAATTCACGTAAAATTGAGAAAGTACTTGTAGCTTCCACCTGTGTCCGCCAGAGGGAGCCAGGCGACCGCAGAGCCCCTTTGATAGAGTCTTCACTTTGACATTAGTAAAGTTAATACTTAATTTTTTATTGATACAAACGCGTTCACTGATCTACCATTATTATGCAGAAGTGTTACATTACATTATAAATAATTTTTAAAACGATAACATTAGTACGCGTAATATTCTCTGTACAGAGTAGTGTAACTCAAACTACAGCATCAACATCTGGAGACAGAGGCCCGAGTGGCTTTGGAGGATGGGTCAAATGCAGAGAACACAGATAGTTTAACTTTACAGTCTATGGTCCAAACCTTTCAGTACTAGGGCCACGTCAGGCCCCAAGACTCCAGGGGCCAACGACATCAACTTTCTGTATTGATCGATATAATTATAAATCCTTGGTATTGATTCACACCACAGCTACATAACACACAGCTCAAACTGGTGAAGCTGAAGATGGCTGGCTGACACTGGAAGTCTTGTGGTCTATGGTCCCGCTATGGTCATGTATCACGACTTATGAATGAACATTTTCAGATTCAAAAGTTTATTTTCCGCACAATAAATAAATGTCATAGTATTGCAAACACATGGAATTCCAGTTATTTATAAAACAAATAAATAATAAAAGTTTTAATTCACAAACGGATAGAAAATATTTATAAAATCATACGTAAATAGAAAAGCAGGATTCAAACACAAACTGCTGGAAAGTATTGCTTTGGTCTCAAACAAAAAGGCTCTTGGTTCGAAGTGGAGCTGTTTAGTGTGACGGATCAAGTTAGCGATCAGCAGGCTTTTTCTTAAAACAAAAATGCCTCAAACATTATTCAGACTTCATTATAATCAAATGAGAACTTTGTTACATGGAGATTTAAAACGTCAAACTCACGGAAAGACAGACATAAGCATGTTTTAGCCACATATATATATATTTTTTTAGCTAGCCAAATTTACATAAGTTAGCCGGAGTCACAGCTACATTTGCCAGAGTTAGCTCGAATTAGCTACTTTAGCACAACTTAGCGTGGTTTAGCCACTTTAGAAAAAGCAGGCAGAGCTAGCCGTATTAGCAAAAGTTAGCTTGAGTTTGCCACATTAGCCAGTTAGCCCTGATTAGAACCACACTAGAAGAAGTTAGCACACAAAAAATCCTTTTGAATACAAAACATAGTGAAAACAAATACATTTCTTCTTCTAATCTTCCTTTGTTCAGGATATTGGTGGGGTTTCGTCATCACTTAACAGCTCCAACATGGCATTCTCCGTTTCCAAGGAGACAACGCACAAACATTACATCAGCGTTTGCATAAATACAAATTTCAGTGTTAGCATAAAGCTGGTTTTGTCACAGTGCACATATTTCTGATCTAATACACAATTATGTACTTTATATTAGCAGTTTTAGCATTAGCATTTTAACTTAACACAAACAAGATTACGTTTTAGTGTTTAATAGTAAATATGGCTTTATGTTTATTGGGATGTGTTCTTATACATTTTAATATTTAGTTTTCCTCATAGGTTGGTCTTATCTTTCCAGTTGGTCTGGTCTAAGGGGTTGGTCTCTCGGAGGTTGGTCCCTCGGAGGTTGGTCTCTCAGGTTGGTGAAGTCTCAGAGGCTAGTCCGACAAGTTGATTTCTCAGAAGTTGGTCTCTCAGAGGTTGGTCTCTCAGAGGTTGGTCTCTCAGGGGTTGGTCTCTCAGGGGTAGGTCTCTCGGAGGTTGGTCTCTCAGGGGTTGGTCTCTCAGGGGTTGGTCTCTCAGGGGTTGGTCTCTCAGGGGTTGGTCTCTCAGGGGTTGGTCTCTCAGGGGTAGGTCTCTCGGAGGTTGGTCTCTCAGGGGTTGGTCTCTCAGGGGTTGGTCTCTCAGGGGTTGGTCTCTCAGGGGTTGGTCTCTCAGGGGTTGGTCTCTCAGAGGTTGGTCTCGTCCCAGGTGGGGTCGTTCAGCTCCTTTAGAACTCTTCGTACGACTCTCTCCAGCTCTTTCCTTGCTCTCTGCTCTTCCTCCAGCGTTCGCCGCATTCTTTTATTGTTCTTTTAAAAACAACAAAAACACTTTATTTACTTTAATCACTTTAAACACTTAAATCATTTAAACACTTCACCTGTTTCAGATCCTGGACCTCGTCCTTCAGGCTGTACACTGTGTCCACAAGGCTCCTGCAAACACCAGAGACAACATATTATACAGCAGAGACCAGAAAGACCAGAGAGAGAGACTATAGAGAGACTATAGAGAGAGACCAGAGAGAGACCAGAGAGAGACCAGAGAGAGACCAGAGATGAATGTTCCGTTCCCCAGATTTAATAAAACTTTAATATTTCTCCGTGCCTCTCCTCCACCACAGTCTGTCCGTTACTGCGAGTTTCCTCCACGATGATCTTCTCTTCTTCTGGAAACAACATCTGCACCTCTTTCCTGTTGGAGCCTGAACAAGAAACAGAAGAACTTTACAAGTTTAAAACTTCACAACTTCAGATGTTTAGAATTCAAGACCAAAACAGGAAGTATCAATAAGTGTTGGAGTAGGTGCAGAGATCAGCAGCTGCACTCATGGGATAGAGTTCAGTCCTGGTTTGGACCCAGTTCAGTCCTGAATAGTCCTGATTTAGACCTGCTTAAGTCCTGGCTTGGACCAGCTTTAGTCCTGGTTTAGACCTGCTTTAGTCCTTGTTTTAGTTCAGCTTTAGTCATGATTTGGACATGCTTTATTCCTTGTTTAGAGCTGCTTTACTCCAGGTTTGGATCTGTTTTAGTCCTGCTTCAGACATGCTTCAGTCCTTTAGACCTGCTTTAGTCCTGCCCTAGACCTGTGAATCAGCTTCAGTTGAACTAAAAATATTGTTAACTTTTTTGTGATAAATCTTTAGTCATGGAGGAATTTAAACGCAATTTGATGTTTGTGACACTGATGCCTTGTAGTTTGGGCCTCTGGTGACTATCAATTTTGGTGTGAGTCTTGAGCCTAAAAGCTTCTGTCTGGGTCTAAAGCACACAGCTCCTGTCGGGGTCTAAAGTACACAGCTCCTGTCGGGGTCTAAAGTACACAGCTCCTGTCGGGGTCTAAAGCACACAGCTCCTGGTCACATGACTCTTGAATCTTACGAGAGATGGATCCGGTTCTGTAACTGTTCATGGTCCACAAGCTGTCGTAATCCGAGTCTTCTGATTGGTCGATTGAGGAGTTGCCGGGCAGACTGTCGGCGCCACAGTCAACCAAGACGTGGTTATGCATGAGGTCAGTGCCCTGCCACGCTTCCAGACCGCCACAAAGTCACCACAAAGTAACCACCAAACAACAAAATAATACAAAACAATAGCCACAATAACCAGCAAGAGCAGATGTAGAGTTGTCAGGTTAATGGTGAGGAAGAGGAGGGTGTGATGAAGAAGACAAAGAAAAGAGAAATATTATTAGTTATCAGCAGCTTACAGACACATCATAGAAAGACAAACATGGGACAGAAGAAGGCTGAGCTGTCGACTGCAGATCTATTTGTGAAAATAACTTTTACCAATTGTCTGTTTGAGTTAAACGTTTACAGCAAAATAAATTATGAGACTGTTCTGATGGAATAAACTTTAAAACCAAATAATTGATAACATGCCATGGTGGCTCATCCTAACACGCTAATGTCGTGCTAACATTGTGCTAACGTCGTGCTAACGCCTACAGACTTACTGGAGTTGAGAGTCTGTCTGGTCTTGGCGCTGGTGCAGTACGCTTCAATCACTTTGAGAATCTGTGCGTCTTCTTCCAGAGCAGCGGTGCCTAAAATCACACACACTCTTTAAACACAACTACACTTTACAAACAAACAGCACTCTCTTTAAACATACACACTCTTCAAAGTGATAGTCTGGAACTCTAAATGAAATACAAATTTTAAGAATTGTAAAAATTGACCTCCTGGCCTTAAATATTGATATAAAATAAGTCATTTTATGAATTATAATATTATGGGTAAGTCCCGCCTTCCCTTCTCTACTTTAACCAATCAAGTGATGCCAAGAGCTGTCAATCATCGCCCTTAATATTTGAAGCTGTAATGGGCATTATCTTTAATTATATAAAATAGTTAGTTCCCAAAGGTTTTGCCCTGACGTGGCTACACCACAGACTGTAGGCTTGACGGAACTACATGAAAAGTGAACAGAAAATTCTGAACATCCGCGGGGAGTGACCCAATTAAAAACTTAACCTAAATGTTCCTAAAATGTTCTACTAAAGTGATGGTTACTTCCGGGTTTCCCCGATCGCTTTTTGACTCATTAAAACAGTATTTTTGTCATGAAAATGTGAACAGATAATTCTGGAAACCTCTGTGCACGTGTGTTAAGAATGTATGTGTATATATATATATACATATATATATATATATAAAGTTTTCTCTGATTAACATTTAAAGGTGTTGATTGATTGATATTTGTGTTATTGAGCGTGGCTAGCTCCGATGTGAAGTAATAAGTGACAGGCGCTGAAAGCTCGTTGTGACGAAGTGTACAAACTACTGTCGGAGTAATCTTAGTATTTTACACACCTGAAGTACAAGCACCGAGTGCGCTTCCAAAGGGCAGCAGTCACTATTGGTAGGGGTCAGTTATCAAGAAATAATGATCAGGTGAACGTTTTGAAATTAGATTCAAATCAATGGAGTGTTTTACTGCTGCTGTGAGGAGCTGTATAATAAAATATGATTAAATATTAAAATTCATAATCGTGTTCAAGTAAAAGTAGGCGCGGCTTCAAGACCAATCAGAAAGGAAGGGGGAGGGTGCTTGGTTAGTTTTTTCAAATCATGTACCTCTCTCTTTTTTCTGACAAACTCCAGTCTTATCACTTTAAACACACTCACTCTTCCTCGAGCTGAAATCTTCCTCTGACGGTTTTCTCTCCGGTTTACGCTTCGGCAACAGCTTCTTCATGTTTTTGGGACTTTTGCTCAAGTCCTGGAAGAGAAAGTGAGGATTGGAAAACCGAGACTGAATCAGGAGGACCAACATTGTTTTTTTCTGTGTTTTAAGAAGAATAAGAAAGAAACACTAGGGAAGCTGGGGAACGTAACTTTCAGACCATGTTCCTGGCTTTATGTTAAAGTTACTTATCACATGTTTTAAGTTTTCATGTCTGTTCCATCTTTAGATCAGCTTCTAGACAGAAAGGCCAATCAGCTCAAGTATAGGGCTCTTTCTCACAGAAGAGTGTGGTGTGATTTGAACATTTTACTGGTGTCTAGTCTCTCTCTCACTGGTCTCTCTCACTGGTCTCTCTCACTGGTCTCTCTCACTGGTCTCTCTCACTGGTCTCTCTGACTGGTCTCTCTCACTGGTCTTTCTCACTGGTCTTTCTCACTGGTCTTTCTCTCTGGTCTCTCTCTTTCTCTGGTCTCTCTCATTGGTCTCCGTCTCTCGCACCTCTTTAGGTCCGTTGCTCGGCCTCAGCGGAGGTGCTGGTCTGAGGCAGCTCTGGCTCCATGGTTGAGGTCCTGGTGGAGGCTCTAGAGCCCCCCATACAGAGCCTGCTCCTGGGTTAAGGCTGAATGAGAAGCCCTGGGGGAGAGTGTGGGACGTCCCGTTGCGGAGGTCCAAGGTCCGGGAGGGAGTGGCCGGCAGAGAGGGCAGCTGTGAAATAAACCATCAGAAGTTTAAGAACCTTCTTCTCCGACACAAGGAAGCAGTGGTCCACATGGGGCCGCAAGGAGGGTTGGGTGCCCAGTCCTCCGTCTATGTGTGATGAGGGATAGACTGTATATAGATCAGTGGTCTCAAACATCTGTGACTCCTGGTTGACATCAAAGTGTAATGTAAGTGTGGCCCTTATTGAGAGTCATGGTGTCATCATTTTAAAAGATAATTTTATCAATAAAACAACCATATTTAGAATACCATAAACTCTGAACCCTGAATGCAATAAGAACAAAATGTAACCATTATTCAGCTCAGTCTACAGGACTCATTTTGTTCATAGAAATCCATCCATTTTCTTTGCAATAATTAATTTCTGGGTTAAGCCACTCACTGATCCTCTGCAGGTGGTGAGTCCACAGGAGGACGGCTGCTCTGTCACTTAGAGCAGTGTTCCCCAACCTTTTTGAGCCATGGCACACCTTTTTTAATGCAAAGAATCTCACGGTACACCACCGACTAAAACTGAGGCACACATTTAACTCTGCAAAGTAATTATCATCAAAGTGTATCATATATAAAATTAAACAAGCACAATCATCTGTTCTAATCTTCTTACATTGTTTTCTTGTCACATTATTTGGACCAATTAGATGATAATGGACGATTTTATACTTGTTATTTGATGCTAGAGTTAGAGAATTTGTTTTATTTTAATTAGTAAATAAATAAAAAATTCTACTGTAAAGTATCTCTTCATCTTAATATTCATTTCCAAAGGCACACCAAGCAAAGTCTCAAGGCACACAAACATGCCACGGCACACTGGTTGAAAAACACTGAGTTAGAGCATAGCCTTGATCTTTCAGTTGGGGCTTTCAGGCAAAGTGGGGTTGAGTGTCTTGCCCAAGGACACAACGAAAGCAGACATCAGTGGGAGTCGTGAAGTAGGTCTCGTGATGGGCTCAAACACACAACCTTTGGGCCCTAAGGCCAACGATCTACCAACTGAGCCACAGATATTATATCAAACCCATGGTGAATAAAAGTAGTTATTTGGTAAAGAATACCTTCAGGATAAAATGTCACAAATGCAAACAAGCTATAAACAAATGTTCCACAAACACTTGGATCCTGGTTCTCGTCTCTCTGCAGTAAAATGTTTCTCTACCGTTAATTATGAGAAGAAGGCACAGCTTTACATCTGTGTGTCATAGATCTGTTTTCTCCACACACACACATGATAAGTATACGCTGATATAGATGGAAAATGCTAACCAGCAAGCTCAATGAGGCCCAATAGGGAAGTGCTCATGGTGAAGTTTGGCTCCTCTTTCTGGCTCCTATTGACAGACATGTAAAAGTAAACTCCTCTAGCTCAATCAGCGTTTGTGTCACACTCACCATTTTGGGCTTAATTCTGTGGTTCAGAGTTCTCTGTGATCCTGGGTTTATGTTGTGTCATTAAAGCCAGATATGAGCCATATCTGTCATTGGTCAAGACTTAGGTTTACCAATCAGATGTCTTCATTCCTTAATTAAAACTACACAACACAGCAACACATCTGCCCCTGTCACTGCGCAAAGCTAACACTGTCATTAAAGGAAACTGGCTCCAGCTAGTTTAAGTTCCAATCGGCTTCTTCCACACTGGTGATGCCACACGCTCTGTGGGTGTGTGAGACTCACGGTGCTGCTGCGCCTCCCCCCGTGGCTCTGGGCAGACGGTGCATGTGTGTGTGTTGTGAGGAGGTCCAACCACTGCTGCAAAAGAGCAGGAGACGACAGCGCCACCTGCAGGCGCTCACCAGAACTTCCTACACACAAGGAAAAAAACAGCTGTTTGTGCACTGACAACAAAGACAGAATTTCTTTCATCTGAGACAAAATGACAGTTCAGAGACGGTTTTGTGTTACAGTCTGACCTGTGATCTCGAAGGCGTTCCTCACATTTTCCACGTCTTCCATCATCGAGATCAACATCCCAGACAAAGGTACTCTGCCCTACACACAGGCACACACCTCAAAACACACTCTTTAGCCCTATTCGCACGGGATTAGTATTACCTATGGACCTCTTGTAATTTGTGATAATCACGGAGTATGTCTGAGATCTTAGTCCCGTGAGAATGCAACATGTCTGTAATTTGTAAAGTAATAATTTCGCCACAAATGACCTCCTGTATTTGTCCAAACACAGACGTCCTGTGATAATACTAATCCCGTGAGAATCTGCATGTCAGTGATTGTAATCGCTATCGCCGCTTTCTCTTTACTTTCTGTGTTATTTTTTGTCAGCGTATCGCGGCTGTGTACACAGCGGCAGAGTCGCGGCTGCTGCTGTCTCTGTGAGGTCTATGGAGAGGTAAAGGAGTAATGCGTTCACTAACACTAAATGATCAGCCTTTGCACGTTTACTCTGCACTCTGTCCTAACACAGTACAGACGTGTTGATGCAGTATGTTAGCAGAGTATCTGGTGCGTTCACAGGTAGTTCGTACAAACAGCATTGCTAAACGTTACAGACAGTACGGCCATAGAACCGTAGAGGAGTAAAATCCACGTGTATGTGTTTGTCTTCATGGTCTCTGTGGCTGCTGTGGTCAGACGCGACTCTCTACGGACTGCGTGACGTGGAGAGACTCGCGCACGTGTGGCCTTTATGTGAGATGTCAGTGTTTATCACAAATTACCAGGGGTCCACAGGTAATTCTAATCCTGTGCGAATAGGGCTTTATATATACAAAGAGAAAGAGAGAGACACACACACTCAGAGAGTAAGTAAGGAATGTTCATTTATATAGCGCATTTTTACAGACTCAGGTCACCCAAAGTGCTTTGCAATGTTCAGAGTTCAGATATTGTTTCACACAAGATGAGGACGGAAGCGAGTCCCCGAACACACGGGTGCATCAAAGCCCCCAATCAACACCTTCAACACTCTCTCATTTACATTCATACCTATTGTGCATGTTTTCAGTTGTAGGGGAAACCGGAGCACCCGGAGGAAATCTACGCAGACACGGGGAGAACATGCAAACTCTACTCAGAAAGGCCCTGTTCCAACCGGGATTCAAAACCAGGACCTTCTTGAAAAGCGAGAGTGCTATCCACTCAGCCACCGTGCTGCCCAGAGAGAGAGAGGTCTCTCACACTCACAGAGAGAAAGAGAGGTCACACTCACACAGAGAGAGAGGTCACACACACACAGAGAGAGCGGTCACACACACACAGAGAGAGAGGTCACACACACACAGAGAGAGAGGTCACACACACACAGAGAGAGCGGTCACACACACACAGAGAGAGAGGTCACACACACACACAGAGAGAGAGGTCACACACACAGAGAGAGAGGTCACACACACAGAGAGAGAAGTCACACACACACAGAGAGAGAGGTCACACACACACAGAGAGAGAGGTCACACACACACAGAGAGAGAGGTCTCACACACACACAGAGAGAGAGGTCACACACTCACAGAGAGAGAGGTCACACACACACAAGTCTGCTGTGCTTTCTCAAGCTGCCTTTTCTACACTGTCACCAAAGAATGGAACAGGCTTCCAGACAATCTAAAGAACATGGCAGGTTTTCACAACTTCTCTCTGGCTTTGAAGGACTGGCTCTTGCAACATCAGTCCTGCGCGCATTAACAGTATCAGACGGGTATTTGGCTGCCAGACAACAAGATTACAGTATTATCTCTTATTATCTTCAGTTACTGTACTGTTGGGTATAATGGCTATTGGATGACACTCATCTGAAAGCCATTATTTCTTTTTTGAAAATTGTGTCATACTTTACACATTACTTCTAACTGTAACTGTATTGCACCTTACTGAACTGTATGTTCATATGTATCTTGGTCAACTTGTACTTTTATTGAACTGTATGTTCATATGTATTTTAGTAACTTGCACTTTTATTTTAATGTTTTTTTAGTAACCTGCACTTTTAATTTGAACTGCATATTATTATGCAAGTTATATGATTATATTGTCAAGGACTGCAGAAAGAAAGTAGCATGGTGCTAAATTCTTTTTCATGCAACTGCACATTGTGCTAAATAAATCAAACCTCACACACACACAGACACATACACTCACACACACCTGGTAGATGAAGCCGCTCATGCGTAGAGAGGCCGACAGCATCAGCAGAGTCTGAGAGAACAGAACCAGATACCTCTCCTCCCACTGCTGAAGACAGACACACACACATTTTTCATTGGTTTGATTGGGTTTGAGTTCTCCTCCTCATTCCCTCTCAGGTCTAAACCTTGACGCCCGAGCCTACACCGCAGCTGCCAACACTCTCTGGAACTAACTCCCAACCAACTAGCCTGGCCTTAGCCATCCGGTCTATCATCATTTCCTTGCATGTACAGTCTGGCTATGGTCCCTGTGTTTGCAATTACATCGGTTGAATCCCATCCGACCAATCAGCGACCACGGGAGGCGGGTGTTGTGGTAAGGGTAAACTCAGATCTAATCATTTCAATCTGCAAAAGGAGTTAACCCCTCCCGCCTGTTAACGGAGCTCAATGGAGCAATTCCAGACCGTAGTACAAAATGTAATTTGTTCTATGGTGCGGTACGACCAGACTTTCAACCAACAGAAACTCACTATAGAACTTTAAATCACTTTTCAAAACCCAAATGTCTTTCTTTCCTTTTTGTTTTCAATGTTTATTTGTCTATGTTTTGTAAAGCATCGTTGAGTGTCCAAAAAAATAGTTATATAATTTTGATGTATTATTATTATTTTTCTTTCTTTGGTGGTGAGGTCACCAAACCCCACAGTCACAGAACCAACAAGCAAACTCTTAATGGTTCGGCTATAAAAGTGAAGCAGATTGTTTAGAGTTTGTGGTGAATTCTCTACGTTTCCACATAAAGAAGAGACGAAGAGCAAACCCAGAGCAGGAATAAGGAAGAAAACAAGCAGATTTTGTTGCATTAAAGTGTAGATTTATAGAAAACTGAAGGATTTAAGAAGAAAAAAAATTCAGGACGGAAATACCCACAAAATCAGACCTTTATGAAAGCTGTAGGTGCTCCGTCAGCTCAGGTCAGGATATAAAGCTTCAGGATCTAATAATTGGGAGAATAACCATAAACATAAACTCAGTGGTGTTCTCACCGTGCCGCTGTTCACTGTCGCCATGGACATGTAGAGCACTGGGCCCAGCGTGGTGATGTCATCGCCTTCCCACTTCCTGATTGGCTCGTTGAGGACCTGCAGCTCCAGCTCCTTCCTCTTCCTCACGTCCAAACACTCGGCCTGAAGACAAAGCAGAGTTTCTGTTTTCTGTTTACAATTCTGTGAGAAAAGAGAAGTTTGAGACTGACAGTGAGACTTTTGAATGCTGTCATTGCCGCGTGGAGGTCTAAGCGGTCCACGTGCTGCTCCTGCAATGAAAGAACAAGACCTGCTTTAGATCTTCTTTAGACCTGCTTTAGACCTGGTTAAGTCCTGGTTCAGAACTGCTTTTATCCCTCCTTTAGTCTTTCCTTAGTCTTGCTGTGGTCCTGGTACCGTCTTGCTTTTATCCCTCCTTTAGTCTTTCCTTAGTCTTGCTGTGGTCCTGGTACCGTCTTGCTTTTATCCTGTTTCCCTGCCTTGGACCCTGCTTTGGTCCCTGCTTCGGTCCCTGCTTTAGTCCCTGCTTTGGTCCCTGCTGTGGTCCCTGCTGTGGTCCCTGCTGTAGTCCCTGCTGTAGTCCCTGCTTTAGTCCTTGTCCGGTCCTGGTGCAGACCTCCATGTGTCGGTCCAGCTCTGTCAGCAGAGCGGGGTATCGCTCCAGTCGAGTGAATGGTTTACTCAGACTCATGGTCAGAGTCAGGACCCCAGGACTCGCGGCTCCTTTGGACTCCATGAAGGATCCCAGCTCCTCACTGTGACAGACACACTGTTAGCTCTGTTCAATTGCTCTGGTCACTCTCTCTGGTCACACTCTCTGGTCTCTCTCTGGTCACTCTCTGGTCTCTCTCTGGTCTCTCTCTGGTCACTCTCTGGTCTCTCTCTGGTCTCTCTCTGGTCTCTCTCTGGTCTCTCTCTGGTCACTCTCTGGTCTCTCTCTATAGAAGGATCTTTGCTTACATCCGTGTGCGCATGTGCCACTCGCTCAGTGGCAAGAAGACATTGCAGCACATGCAAAAGCATGGGAGCGACGAGTACTTTATAAAGACTTTGGCGAAATGCAGTATATATAAGCACTTTAATGCAAGAAGATCTGAGATTATATTAATATAAGATTTAAAAAAATAAGTGTAGTAGACCGAACTGAACAAATCCAAAGACTAAAAACGACAAACATTGGTCAGACGCGCCTCTGTCTTGGCACCGATCTGAGCATTTATCCTCCTGATCGCCTACAACCATTTCTCGCGTTTTTTGCTGTTCTTTTCCGAAATAATTCAAACGTTTATCTGGCCCCAGCGAGCCGTACAACCGACCACACAACAAGAGTGGACCCTTTGATTAAGTAAAACCTCTCTCCAAACGTCTAAATCTAGCTAACTCTCTTGCATCCAAGTAGCGTTCGCTGCTGTTTTGCCACGCAGTCACGTGACCGGCGCGGAAAAATTATAAACGACAACGTCACACGTAGATCCTACTATAGTCTCTCTCGCTTTGGTCTCTCGCTGTCTCTCTCTAGTCTCTCTCTCTCTGGTCTCACCTGTGCTGTGTGAGCAGGTGTACTGCGTTTGGATGGTTGGAGCAGTATTCCACATAGATGCTCTTCATTTGGGACATCAGATCCAGGAAAAAGCCTCCGACCCTCTGCTGTGCCTCCGGAAGTCTGCAGGGAACAACAACCACTGATTGCTCAGATCAGCAGTTTGAAAGCAGCCCATTGGAACAGAAGGGTGGGGGAGTACTTGGTGAGCTGTTCCAGACTCTGCACCAACATCTGCTGGAAGGTGGAGATCTCTTCGAGGTTTCCCTGGATGTGGCCGATGTCTGCGCTGCTCAGCCTGCAACAAAACACATTAAAGCTCAGGTACGTAACTTTAGTCTCATGAGACCACAGCATTCTGCTGTCATTTACATTTACATTACAAAACATGTTTTTTTATGCATAAGAAAGAGCTCTCTGGTCTCTTCTTTCTTTGGTCTCTCTCTCTGGTCTCTCTATTTGGTCTTTCCCTGTGTGAAAGAAGCCAGAAACACATGGCTACACAAATGATAGAATCAAACTAAGAGGTAGGAGTTGTATTTAATTTCATAGCTCCTTGTTTGGTGCTTTGAAATTAAGTAGTCAAGGAGAATATGAGGAGACGACAAGCAGCTGACGCAGCGCCCCCAAAGGCCAACGCTGAGACTGCATTTTTAACTGACAGGCTTAAGTCTCTCTGGACAGAAAGACAGCAGGATGTGATGAAGAGGATGTGCTCTAGAGGAGGATGTGGTGATGAACAGGAGGATGTGATGAAGAAGAGGGGGATGTGATGAAGAGAAGGATGGCTTTTTCCACATGAAGTAGTAGTAGTAGCATTAACAGCAGTAGTAGTAGCGGTAGCAGCAGTAGCACCAGTAGCTGAAGTAGTAGCATCAGCCGTAGTAGCACAAGTAGCAGAAGTAGCAGTAGTGGTAGTAGTAGCAGAAGCAGCAGGAGTAGCAGCAGTAGCACCAGTAGCACCAGTAGCTGAAGTAGTAGCAGTAGTAGCATCAGCCGTAGTAGCAGAAGTAGCAGTAGTAGCAGAAGTAGCAGTAGTAGCAGTAGTAGGAGTAGTAGTGGAAGTAGCAGTAGTAGCAGAAGTAGCAGTAGTAGTACCTCTCGGTTGGATGCAGTAATCTCAGATAACTCCCCAGGAGACTCTGGAGTTCTCTAGAGTACTCTGTTTCTGCTTCTAAGATGTTCTGCAGGACCTGAAGATACAAAGTACTATGACACACACAAATACTGCAGTACAATAAACACACAATGGCGGCAGCACTACATACAGTATGACAGTTCATGTGAGTGACCTGAGGATGTGTTTGGAGCTCAGAGAGAGAAAGTGAGAGTAAAGAGTAGCTTTGTATTGAGTTGAGGTGTTTACATAAGTGTCATTAGAGAGATGTGACTCCAGGCTGTGGACCTGAGAAAGCACTCACATGTTGTATTATTCACACACAGGCTGTGGGGGGAGGGGGAGGAGGGGGTCGCAGAGGGGAGGCTGCCCCAGAAACCAGTGAGATGGAAAACATAACCTATATTCCACACATGCTCCACGTGTGGAGGAGAGAAATACTGCACTAAGCAGCAGTAGTAGTTTTAGAATTAGTATTAGTAGTACTTCTCACCACGTTGTAGTAAGTTTTGCTGATGATGCTGTTGTCAAATCCTTTTGGGCTTTTCAGAGGTCCAGACTTCTGTTTGTCTGAGGACTTCTCTGTGAAGCAAAAAAAAGACCTGGTTCAGTCCTTCAGACCTGGACCAGACCTGGTCAAGTCCTTAATACCTAGTTATTGTGCTTTATAACATTTGTTGTCAAACAGTGAAACTCGTTAAGAGACAGAAGTTCCTGATGGAGGAGAGAACTGAATTGAGCGAAACACTGTAGCTCTGTTACTGATGAGGAAGATTGTTATAATATGGAAAACACAGATGTGTTTGTTAAAGGAGTAGTGTGTAAAAAATCTGGTCAAAAGTGGTACTGCAACCTCTCCCAGTCTCCCAGACTCAGGTTGCCAGAAAAGCAGACGAATTCAGCTGGGACCAAAATATCTGAATAGACAGGAGTTTTGTAAACAACAAATCCATTACCAACATCTTTTTCACAAATGCCCAATAGAAATCCTTGTTTTATTCCTTGTTTTGTCGTTAATGATTTGAGAATCATAACGAGACCTTTTTTAGTACAGCGGGTGGGACATCAAAATGGAAACAGTAAAAAGATTTAGGGGCTGTAAAACAAATTTTGAAATACAAATATTTCGGCTGATCTACTGATATAAGTTAAAGAAGTATTGGAAAAGAGCATGGTTTATTAATGCCTTTTGACATATTAGGGCCATTTAATGATGACTTGATATGAAAATCTTATTGCTACTTTAAATGACAGCCGTCCCCCAGGGCTCTGACAACTAAGCTGAACTTAGACCTGTTAAGGATAGTGCACGGCAAAACAGAAAGATTATGTTCCATGGACTTTTTGTCTCAATATTTTCTCATGAATGTGTCAAATGGGGTGTTCAGACCTGATCATGTGTTGTAGTGACTTTCAATGCAAAGTCAATGGTGACGTTTGATTGAGCGTGGAATTGAATGTGCGTCGCAGCACGCACGCTTGGACTGCGTGGCAGAGGCGCAGGCGGCAGCTCAACGCAGGCAGGAGATGGGCATTGTTAATGCCCAGGACTAAACTAGGACTAAACCAGGACTAACCCAGAACTAAACCAGGACTGACAATGGAGGACACAGTGCTTGTGAACATATGCTTCCAGTTCTCATGCCCCCGTGACTGTGAGCATACGTGATGCTAACGTATTTGCCAAAGTGGAAGTACCGTTTATTAGTAAAATAAACTCATGACGCACCCCTGTGAACACATACTCTTGTCAAATAAAGTCTCTGGAAGGTCTCTGGACACAGAGACGCTGCAAAGCTTCATTATTGAAGAAGAACACAAAAAGCCGCTTGTACCTGGGCGGCAGGGGCTATATAAATAATGATTACTTACTTACTTAACTTACTTAACTCCGTTAGCATCAAAGCCCACCACTTCCACTGTGCGCAAAAGCAGGGCAGTACTTCCTGTAATTCTGCGTCTGAGATTTAGTGAATGAAGTTGCATTCAAGCATTGGCGGTCTGAATGCCCTATAAAAGTGGTCTCTCTTACTCTATCATTCACTGGACTCTATCATTCACTGGTCTCTCTCTCACTGGTCTCTCTCTCTCACAGGTCTCTCTCTCTCACAGGTCTCTCTCTCTCACAGGTCTCTCTCTCTCACAGGTCTCTCTCTCTCACAGGTCTCTCTCTCTCACAGGTCTCTCTCTCTCACAGGTCTCTCTCTCTCACAGGTCTCTCTCTCTCACAGGTCTCTGATCGTGTTTTGTGTGTCAGGAAGTCCAGGGTTGATCCGGCGTTTGTCCTTGGAGCACTTCCTGTTTCCTTTCTAAAGTCAAACACATCCGCTGAGAGTGAAAGAGTGGCATCAGAAAATAAGTCGCTGCTTCAAGTGCATTTTGCATTGGGGATTGTAATCATAGACTGTATATAGATAGACGATGCAAACCCGCCAGCTCCATGAAGTCCCATAAGGAAGTGCTCATAGTGAAGTTTGGCCCCTCTCTCTTGCTCATATTGACTTACAGGTCCTTCTAAAAAAATTTGCATATTGAGATAAACTTCATTATTTTCTGTAATGTACTGATAAACAGTAGACTTTCACATATTTTAGATTCATTACACACAACTGAAGTAGTTCAGGCCTTTTATTGTTTTAATATTGATGATTTTGGCAAAAAAGTAAAGAAAAAACAAAAATCCCTATCTAAAAAAATTTGCATATTTTATCCGACCAATAAAAGAAAAGTGTTTTTAATACAAAAAATGTCAACCTTTGTAGAAATGAATGCTTCAGTACGGTGTGGCATGGAGTCAATCAGCCTGTGGCACTGCTGAGGTGTTATGGAGCCCCAGGATGCTTTGATAGTGGCCTTAAGTTCATCCACAGTGTTGGATCTGGTGACTCTCAACTTCCTCTTCACAATATCTCACAGATTCTCTATGGGGTTCAGGTCAGGAGAGTTGGCAGGCCAATTGAGTACAGTGATACCACGGTCAGTAAACCATTTACCAGTGGTTTTGGCACTGTGAGCAGGTGCCAGGTCGTGCTGAAAAAGGAATTATTCATCTCCATGAAGCTTTTCAGAAGATGGAAGCATGAAGTGCTCCAAAATCTCAAGATAGCCAGCTGCATTGACCCTGCCCTTGATAAAACACAGTGGACCACCCCCAGCAGCTGATCTGACACCCCAGACCATCACTGACTGTGGGTACTTGACACTGGACTTCAGGCATTTAGCATTTCCTTCTCCCCAGTCTTCCTCCACACTCTGGCACCTTGATTTCATCTGAAAAAAGTACTTTGGACCATTGAGCAACAGTCCAGTGCTGCTTCTCTGTAGCCCAGGTCAGGCGCTTCTGCCGCTGTTTCTGGTTGTGGTTTCTGTAGCCCATTTCCTGCACACGCCTCTGCACGATGGCTGTGGATGTTTCTGCTCCAGACTCAGCCCACTGTTTCCGCAAGTCCCCCAAGGTCTGGCATCGGCCCTTCTCCACCATCCTCCTCAAGGTCCGGTCACCTCTTGGGGTTGTGCAGCGTTTTCTGCCAAACTTTTTCCTTCCCACAGACTTCCCTCTGAGGTGCCTTGATACAGCTCTCTGGGAACAGCTTATTCGCTCAGAAATGTCTTTCTGTGTCTTACCCTCTTGCTTGAGGGTGTCAATGATTGCCTTCTGGACAGCAGTCAGGTAGTCTCACCCATGATTGCAGTTTTGAGTAATGAACCAGGCCGGAAGTTTTTTAAAGCCTCAGGAATCTTCTGCAAGTGTTTAGAGTTAATTTGTTGGTTCAGATGATTAGGTTAATAGCTAGTTTAGAGTACCTTTTCATGATTTGCTAATTTTCTGAGATAGGGATTTTTGTTTTTTCTTTACTTTTTTGCCAAATTCATCAATATTAAAACAATAAAGGCTTGATCTACTTCAGTTGTGTGTAATGAATCTAGAATATATGAAAGTCTAATGTTTATCAGTACATTACAGAAAATAATGACACAATATGCTAATTTTTTTAGAAGGACCTGTATATGTAAAAGTAAACTCCTCCCGCTCAGTAACCATTTGCGTCTCACTTAAATCTGTGGTTTATCGGTCTCTGTGATTCTGGAGTTTATACTGTGTTATTGTCTTTGTAAATCCAGATAAGAGCCATATAAAGATTGACCAATCAGATGTCTTCAAGGAGGAAGCTCTTGTTTACCTTAGCAACAACTCTGCCCCTGTTACAGCACGAAGGCTAACACAGTGGAAAAAATGCAAATATAAGGAATTTGGTTCCAGCAAACGTATGTTCAAATCAGCCTCCTTCTCATTAGGGCTAACACTTCGTCACACTTGGTCTGTCCACTCCTGAGTTACATACATGGACGTGGACATACAGCGCTATGAATCCAGTATGTCCACCAGAGGAGAATGGGTCCAATACACAGCCTTGAGGAACTCCTAAATACTCCTACAGTATATATTTTTTTCCATTTACCAACCCATAAACATGCCCCCCCACCCCTTCTGTGGAAATGCTCTGTTCTCAAACTTTGCCTCTAAATAGTTTTTGTGCCACAGGATGTTGATGGAAATTCCAGAATGTAATAGTTCTAGCGGTAGGGTTGTTAAATGTGGTTTAATGAACGTCAGATCAATCTCGTCTAAATCGCTTCTCATAAACGAACTTATTATAGACAAGGGCTTGGATCTGTTTGCGCTCTCGGAGACTTGGCTCCAACAGGACGAGTACGTTAGATTGAATGAGTGCACTCCTCCGACGCATGTTAACTACCAGAAAGCCAGAGCTACAGGTCGCGGCGGTGGTGTTGCGATTATATCACACACCAACTTGGTTCTTAGTCCCAAAACCAACAACGCTTTTCACTCGTTTGAAAACTTAACACTTTCAATCACCTGTCCTGGGTGGAGAAAACAAAAAGCAGTACTATTTATAGTTTTATACCGACCTCCTGGTCCTTACAGCGAGTTCCTAACAGAATTCTCTGACTTCATTTCAAACCTAGTTTTGGAATGGGAAAACATAGTTATAGCTGGAGACTTCAATATACATGTGGACGACAGCACTGACAGCTTAAACAAAGCTTTCAGCGCCGTACTAGATGGTGTTGGTTTTACTCAGAATGTCGAGGAACCTACTCACATTCATAACCACACCTTGGACCTTGTCCTGACCTACGGCTGTGATGTCTCCAATGTTGACATCCAGCGTCAAAGCTCGTTGCTGTCTGACCATTTCTTGATCACGTTTGATCTCGCTTTGGAGGACTTTCCTGTCCCGCAAGATAAAACCATAATGAAAAGAACCTTAAATGATAAATCTATCACAAGGTTCAAAGAACTAATACAGCCTATGTTGAATACTGCTGCAGGTGAACCTGTTCACAGCTGCTGCAGTCCCTCAGTCATTGACCAAACGGTGGGCAACACTATGGAGTCTTTAAAATCTGCATTAAATGCAGCAGCTCCTTTAAAACAGAAAACCATTAGGATTAGATCATCGTCGCCCTGGTACAGTGTTCAACTCCACACTTTAAAACAGGACGTCAGAAAATTGGAGAGGCTATATCGCCACTCCCACTCGGAGCCTGTCCACAGGGAGTGGAAAGCAGGTCTCCGAAACTACAAGAAGGCCCTTCGCGGGGCTCGAACTCAATACTATTCAACTTTAATAGAAGCGAATAAAAACAACAGTAGATTTTTGTTTGGTACCGTCGCTAAACTCACAAACTGCCATAGCGCAATCGAGCCTAAAATTCCAAGCTCACTGAGCAGTGTCGACTTTCTCCACTTCTTTAATAATAAAATTACATCCATCCGTGACAAGCTGGGGGAGGTTGCTCCGGCTGTTGGTGGTGGACGGGTTGAAGCGGCGTGCGTGGCTTCCCACTTGGACTCTTCAGTGGGCCTTAGTAAATTCATGGCTGTGGGCCGGGCAGAGGTGATCTCTGTGGTCACATCCTCAAAGGCCTCAACTTGCATGTTAGACGCAGTCCCGACATGGCTCTTCAAAGACATACTTCCTTTGATAATTGAGCCTATCGTAAATATAATAAACGCATCCATACAATGTGGCTATGTCCCACAAGCTTTTAAAACCGCGGTAATCAAACCCCTTCTGAAGAAAACAAACCTGGACCCAGAAATACTTACAAACTACAGACCGATCTCAAACCTCACTTTTATATCTAAAATCCTGGAAAAACTTATAGCTGAGCAGCTCCGCTGCCACCTGCAGGAAAATGATATGTTTGAAGTCTTTCAATCAGGATTCAGAGCTCATCATAGCACTGAAACGGCACTAGTCAAAGTCACAAATGACTTACTACTAGCTGCCGATAATGGACAAGTGTCAGTGCTGGTCCTACTGGACCTTAGTGCTGCATTTGACACAATAGACCACAGCATTCTACTGCAGAGGCTAGAATGTGATATAGGTCTTAGAGGAACAGCCCTTGGCTGGTTTAAATCCTATTTATCAGATCGATATCACTTCGTCAATGTGAATCAGGACTCGTCGCCTTATTCTGGAGTGGAATTCGGTGTGCCGCAGGGTTCGGTACTCGGACCGATTCTTTTTACTCTCTACATGCTGCCACTGGGAAACATTATTAAAAAGCATGGAATTAATTTCCACTGCTATGCAGATGACACACAGCTTTATCTGTCGATGAAGCCTAATCAGACAGATCAGCTAGAAAAGCTCAGTGCCTGCATAAAGGACCTTAAAATGTGGATGACTCTTAACTTCCTACTTCTCAACCCGGAGAAGACAGAAGTGATCCTACTCGGTCCGAAGCGCCTGCGTGACTCCCTCACTAACCAGATGGTTACTCTCGATAATGTCAGTATAATACCCAGTAACACTGTGAGGAATCTTGGAGTCATTTTTGACCAAGAACTCTCCTTCAAGGCTTATATAAGCCAAGCAACTAAAACGGCGTACTTCCACTTACGGAACATCGCTAAAATTAGGAATTTCCTTCCTAAAAGTGACGCGGAAAAACTCATTCACGCGTTTGTCACCTCAAGGCTCGACTACTGTAACGCTTTACTGGCAGCGTGCCCTAAAGCCTCTTTGAAGAGCTTCCAGCTCGTTCAGAATACAGCAGCTAGGATCTTAACAGGTACCAAAAGGAGGGAGCACATAACTCCGGTGTTAAAATCACTCCACTGGCTCCCTGTGGAGTACAGAATAAAGTTTAAAATCCTACTCTTAACATATAAAGCCATAAATGGCTTGGCTCCTTCTTATCTCCAAGACACGTTAGTGTCGTATCAACCAGGTCGAGCGTTGCGCTCACAAAACGCCAGACGTCTGGTGGTCCCTAAGGTCTCAAAGGTCACTGTTGGTGGCAGAGCATTTAGCTACCAAGCTCCTTTACTGTGGAATCAGCTTCCCATTTATGTTAAGGAAGCAGATACGGTCTCCACATTCAAGGCCAGGCTTAAAGCACTTTACTTTAATTTAGCATATAATTAGGTAATATATAATATGTAGTGTATATATTATATATATATGCTGTATTATGTTATATATTATGTTATATATTATTCAATAATGTATTGTGTTATGTTGTATATTATGTTATATACTATGCTGTATGTTATTCTTTATTCAAGGCTAGGTTTAAAACAGTCCTCTTTAGTTTAGCATATGGCTAGGAAGGTAAGACTCGGAGAAGGTTAAACTCCTCAGAGTGTTAGTCAAGCTGCATAGGGAGTCAGTTTGCTGGGAGAAGTATGGTAACTTGAGCACTATCCTCTCCTCCTTCCTACTTTATCTGTTTAGCATTTTTTAGGATTCTGACTGTAGTTTGTTCATTGCTATTCACCCGTTGTCCCATTGTCTGTTTCATGGTACGATGACGGGATCTCTGAGCCTGGCCTCTTCCATCTACACCTGCGGACTGCCCCGCCCGACCCGCCTGGGAGTGCTTCAGTCCTGCACCGGACCTGTCCACGTTCAGCGTCCACTGGTCCACGTTCTGTAGCTAGCTTAGGTCCTGGATCATTAGTCTGTCCGTCTGGAGGAGCGGATCCCTTTCTCATATGGGTCTCCCTCCCTGTGGGTTTCCCTAGTTCTCCTCCAAGGTTTCTCACTTTTTCCCACTGGGTTTTTTAAGAGTTTTTCCTTGTCGATGCAGGAGGGTCTTGTTGGACAGTTAGTGTCCAACAGAAAGGATTGGTGATGATCAGGACACTTTAGCATTCTACAACATGTATGGACATTTTCTTCTGTGTGTGCTTTATATTCTTCATGTGTTTTAACTGTTGATTCTCTGACCTGTGTTGGTGATTTCAATGGTTTTGTTAAGTCCTCTGAGATGACTTCTGTTGTGACCTAGGGCTATACAAGAATAAATTGTATTGTATTGTGTATTGTATTGTAATAACTCACCTCGTAGTTCTCGGACGTAGTTGCTAGGGAACCATCCCGTGGCTCCATTCAGAGACCCCTCCCACCACCCGCCCTCCTCCTGCCGGCGCACACTGATGATGTCACCCTTAGAGAACGACAGCTCGTCCTCATTGGTCTGCTCGAAGGGAAACCGCGCCCTCACCAGCAATTGGCCTCGACCCCCGCCCTCCGACATGTCCTGGGCACAGTTAGCGCAGTGGGTTAGCACATTAGCCTCTATAAGTGTTAGCACAGCGGGTTAACACATTAGCAAGTAGAGTAGAGTGGGTGGAAACCGTGCTCTTGTTCCATTGTTCCTGACCCTCACCAGGCTGCGTGACTGCGGCTGCAGCTTGGACGCTCTGCTCTGATTGGAAACTCGGCTCTGACAGTTTGTGGAATCAAACGACTTTATCCTGAGCTTGGAGGAGCGTGGGACACACCCATCATCCACTGAACCCGCACCTGCAACACACATAAACGCACAATTAGTATGATTAGCTTCTAATGCACCATGTGTATACTCCAACAGCCTCATATACAACTCTCCATCTCTCTGTGTCACTCTCTGGTGTCACTCTCTCTGGTCGCTCTCTCTGGTCGCTCTCTCTGGTCTCTCTCTCTGGTCGCTCTCTCTGGTCGCTCTCTCTGGTCGCTCTCTCTGGTCGCTCTCTCTGGTCGCTCTCTCTCTCTGGTCGCTCTCTCTGGTCGCTCTCTCTGGTCGCTCTCTCTGGTCGCTCTCTCTGGTCGCTCTCTCTCTCTAGTCGCTCTTTCTGGTCGCTCTCTCTGGTCTCTCTCTGGTCTCTCTCTCTGGTCGCTATCTCTGGTGGCTCTCTCTTGTCGCTCTTTCTGGTCGCTCTCTCTGGTCGCTCTCTGGTCGCTCTCTCTCTCTAGTCGCTCTTTCTGGTTGCTCTCTCTGGTCGCTCTCTCTGGTCTCTCTCACTTCCACTGCCGTTCAGGTGGTTTGAAAAGTGTATAAAATGTGATGGTTTTACATTCTTAAAACAAACAGCTGCCACTTCAGCGATTTACATTATTGTGGTTTAGAGCACCCCTCCTCGTCATTAACCAGGGGCCAGTGCATGTTTCGTCCATATCAAACATGAGCCTACAATCTTGGAGAAGGTGCCTCACCCCCTCACTCCCTCACTCTGTGTTACCTTCTGTGGCCTTGTTGAGCGCCAGTAAACAGCTCAGGACTCTGGGGAAGTTCAGCTGCAGGTCACTGGGATCAAACGGCTGCAACAAAGAGAGACCAGAGAGAAAGACCAGAGCGAGAGAGACCAGAGAGAGACCACAGAGAGAGACCAGAGCGAGAGAGACCAGAGAGAGACCATAGAGAGAGACCAGAGCGAGAGAGACCAGAGAGAGACCATAGAGAGACCAGAGAGAGAGACCAGAGCGAGAGAGACCAGAGAGAGACCATAGAGAGAGACCAGAGCGAGAGAGGCCAGAGAGAGACCAGAGAGAGACCACAGAGAAAAATACCAGTTTATATGTGATTACAAATTATGTGGATTGTTTCAGGAATTACAGAGAAATTATCTCTAAACTAATTGAAAGAAAACGATTTGCCTTCTGCTGATACTGAGTCTCCCTGGAGTCTGCGGCAGGATTATCCTCAGTCTGAGCCCCTCTAATCTGGCATTTAGTTTTACATTTTTGTTCAGTTTGCGTCAAGTTCTCCAGTTATAAAGATGGGGTATCCAAATATCTGTTTCATAAATAACATGCTTCTTTTACATACAAAGAAAGACCTACTTTAGAACTGCTTTAGGCCTGCTTTAGACCTGCTTTAGACCTGTTTTAGACCTGCTTTAGAGCTGCTTTCGCGCTGCTTTAGTCCTGCTTTAGACCTGCTTTAGACCTGCTTTAGACCTGCTTTAGACCTGCTTTAGACCTGCTTTAAACCTGCTTTGTAGACCTTGTTCAGACCTGCTTTAAACATCCTCTTGTGTCTTTGACTGATAAAAGCTCCTTCAGACCATTACATCATCTCTGGAGCTCCGCCCACAAAAATAGACCATAATATTCAATCAAACAGACAGGACAATTGGGTTGTGTCCAAATTATATCTGCAAAACTCCCTCGAAAGGCTGGGACTGGGTTTAGTTCTGGTTCAGTGCTGGTTCAGTCCCGGTTCAGTCCTGGTTCAGTCCTGGTTCAGTCATGGTTTAATCATAGTTCAATGACGTTCTCTGAAGCGTTCAGACCTGATTCGATAAAATGGAACAGACATAACGAGACCAAAAACCAGGTCAATAAATCCATAAGTGACTGGGGGGGGGGGGGGGGGGGGGGTTCTAACATGTTTTCAAACTCAACTAATACTTCTGCAAATACTACTACTGTTATTACTACTACTGTGCCTCAATTCTTAGCCAAAAAAGACAAAAAATGACTCACAGTGCTCTTTCTGACACAAGAGATTACATGTCTTCCGGTAAAAGGAAGACAGCTTGTAGCGGTCTGAATTGTTCTGTTGGACAAACGCCACGTCTTTTTATGACGTTAAAGTGACGTAATGCAGCTTTAAATAATTGCCCAGTTTGGCCACAAATAACACTCATAACTGCAGACGATTTCCACCAAATTACACAGTTCATGCCTCGTCCCTCTGATTTTCCATAGAACAGCAGTGTCTTTCCCTGTTTATGCCTGTTTATGCCCATTATGTTATTATGTTACATTAATCCATACAGTATAGTCAATGGGACCGGTGTAAATACAATATACTCAATGGGACATGTGTAAATACAGAATATACTAAATGAGACAGGTGTCAGTTCAGTATATACTCAATAGGACATGTGTAAATACAGAATATACTCAAGAGGAAAGGTGTAATAACAGTAGCTATATACTCAATGGGAAAGGTGTAAATACAGTATATTCTCAAAGGGGAAGGTGTAAATACAGTATAATCTCAATAGGACAGGTGTAAATACAGTATAATCTCAATAGGACAGGTGTAAATACATTATAAACAATATAAACTCAATGGGGCAGGTGTAAGTTCAGTATATACTCAATAGGGCATGTGTAAATACGGTATATACTCAAGAGGAAAGGTGTAAATACAGTATATTTTCAATAGGACAGGTGTAAATACAGTATAAACAGTATGCACTCAATGTGGCAGGTGTAAATACCATGCAATATCGTGCTTCTGTCTGTTTTCGTCATACTTCTTTGCACAGGTGTAATTATGGTGTATTCATATGGTGCAGCCTGCGCTCACCTCCACAGCGAAGCCCGCGCAGCCCTTTATAAACTCGGACACGTTCCTCTGGCTCTCCGCCTCTGTCCGCGGCTCCGGGAAGAACTGCGGACCAAAGAATCACATATAAAAGTCTAATCAAACCAGACGGATGCGCTAAAGACACTGGAGACGCGTAAACATGAGGGAAAACGGCACAAACAGGTGAAGTGACGGCGCTAACGTCAAACTGGTGATGGTAAGATGGCGGCTTCCGACTGGTGCCTTTCAAAATAAAACTGGCTCGCGGAACACTGTAACAACATGTACCGTTAAAACAGAAAATATCAGTTTTTTTAAGGATTAATGAAGCAAAAAGCGAATATTCAACTTGATACGTATTGTTAGAACGCGAAAATTCACAGCTCAACAACGTCATGTGATGAGGACGCACAGCTTCCGGTCTGAACTTTCAAAACAACACTTTCGGTGAGTGAGCGTTCAACAGCTATTCAACTTATTTTTTTCCCTTTAAGCAAGAATCAACCATAAACCAGGTCTCAATCATAAACCAGGACTCAACCATAAGTCATGCAGGACTCAACAAGACCGAAACTTAGTGCTGAGGACTGAGGATGAGGTCTGAGAGTGAGGACAGAGGCTGAGGACTGAGGTTGAAGACTGAGGCTTGAGGTTTAGGACTGAAACTGAGATTGAGGATTGAGGCTGAGCAACTTATTTTTCACCTTAAACCAAGAATCAATCATAAACCAGGTCTCAATCATAAACCAGGACTCCGCCATAAACCATGCAGGACTCAACAAGACTGAGACTTAGTGCTGAGGACTGAGGATGACGGCTGAGCACTGATGCTGAGGGCTAAGGCTGAGGGCTGAGGCTGAGGACGAACTGAGGCTGAGGACTGAGGCTGAGGACGGACTGAGGCTAAGGACTGAGACTCAGAACTGGGGCTGAGGACTGGGGGCTGAGCACTGGGGCTGAGGACTAAGGGTGAGGACTGGGGCTGAGGACTGGGGCTGAGGACTGGGGCAAAGGACTGAGGACTGGGGCTGAGGCTGAGGACTGAGTCTGAGGACTGAGGTTGAAGACTGAGGCTGAGGTGTGAGGACGGACTGAGGCTGAGGACTGAGTCTGAAGACTGAGGCTGAGACTAAGGGCTGAGGACGGACTGAGTCTGAGGACTGAGGTTGAAGACTGAGGCTGAGGATTGAGGACGGACTGAGGCTTAGGACTGAGGCTTGAGACTGAGGACTGGGGCTGAAGCCTGAGACTGAGGTCGAGCATTGAAGCTGAGGACTGAGGTTGAGGTTGAGCACTGAGCCTGAGGACTGATGCCCTCTCCCTCACTCACCTTCTCCACGGTCCCAGGTCGCAGTCGCTCCAGCAGTAGGCACAGCACCACTCCGTCCCGTACCGCGTCCTGCAGAAAGACCTCGGGATCCGACACGCGCTTTTTGGGTGAATCCAGAACCCCGAGCGAGATGAGCCATGTGACCGTCTGCTCCACCGCGTTCATGTCGCTACAAGCTAATCCACACTATTGCGACATAAAACGCACAAACCAAATCTGGTCTATATGCAAACTGACATACAAAGCTAATATGTGCTATTGTGACATATGCACTTTAAAATTATTAGACCGCCTATTGCTCAATAGCTGACCGATAAAACAATGAATTTTGAGACAATAATTGTCTCTTTGTTTTCTTTACAACAGTAGAGACTCGAAATATGAATTGTCAGATCATTTCTTATCAATCGGATTTAACATTCTTCTGTATATGGCATGTTTGTTTCAATAATGTCATTTATCGGAATAATTTACAGTAGCGATGTATCGTCTGTCAAAACCAAGCCAAAAGCAAAGTATGAATCACAGATGAACATCGTATTGTTGACTAATTATTATATTTAAATATTTACGAAGGGAAAACTGTAAACATACAGCATGTTTATCACATATATAATCAAAATAGATTTGTTTAACGATAATTATTTCCTTGATTTTGCGCTTCAATCTTTCACCGACAAAACACCGGCTGTGCACGTGTTTTGACGACAGTCCGATCGTGACATATGCGACGCGCGATAATCATTCCCATGAACGGAAGCGAAGCCAGACGTGCGCGTAATTGTTGGTAAATAATGTAATGGAAAATGACACAGCTTTTGAAAAGGACGCTGTGATAAAAGTGATGAAACACTTTGTAGAAAAATTAACTAATTCCAGTTAGTGCCGTGAATCCAGTGTGAAAGAGTAGAGTCCAAAAATAGAGAAACCAGAGGAACCAGCGGTGCGAGGCGGTGCGTCTGCCCCGGGATGAGAAGCTCTCTGCTGGAGGATGCGATTTTAACATCTGCACTAAAGTCACGATCCATGGAGAGACCGAACTGACTCCGGTTTGGACTTTCAAAATAAAAGCAATTATTTTACAGCGTGACAAATCTCTCCAGTCCAGAGAAGAGACCAGATAGAGATTGGGGGGAGATAAGAACGAGGGAGGGACCAGTGAGAGACCAGAGAGAGACCAGAGAGAGACCAAGAAGAGAGTAAGTGACCAGAGAGAGAGATACAAGAAAGGGACCAGAGAGAGAGACCAGAGGGAAACCAAGAAGAGAGTAGGCTGCGGTCACATGCACAGCCTGACGCTGTGGTCACATGCGCAGCCAAAGCCCGGTTAAAGAGTGCCAGGGCCCGCTTCGCAGTTTGATCCGGGCTTTAGGTGCCATCTGACCGCGGCATTCAATAATAACGGTAATTATAGATCCGGGCTTTAGGTGCAATGTGATCGCAGCATGTGTGCCTCAGCACGAAAGACTGCGGCCAGGGCCCGCTTCCCAGCGCAGATGAGGGGGGTCAGTGTCGCGGGTGGTGGGGACCGTGCTCGAGGGGCGCTGGGGAGTGTCTCTCTGCAGGGCCAAAGAAAAGCGTTTACGGGTATAGCTCTCTTCTGTCCTGACCGTTATTATTATAGATCCATGGTCCTGACCCTCGCTCTCAGTGTGGTGCTATTGCAATAACACTTCAGACATTCAAGAATCAGTCTTTATTTAATCACCAGAACACACAAACACACTTGTAACCTCCCTGTCTGCAGTCGCTCTCCTCTAACTCCACACTTTTCATTAATTCATTTCTCAGCGCTCTTACGCTCGTTGCTAAAGAGTGTGTGTGTGTGTGTCCGCGGCCCGCACACACACACACACACAGAAACACATGTAATGTTTTTATTCTGAAGAGGAGAAAGTAGCAGCGTAAATGGGACCGCTTTGGTTTCTAAACTCCTGTGAGATCGCCATCACGTGTGACTATGTCTATGTAAAGTTGTGCTCAAGAATCCCCTTGCGACCTGCTTTGATAACTTTGCCAGCAATGTTCTATTTTATTTTTGAGCGTTTTTGAACAATGTCTAGAACTAAATAAAATAAATGGACACATTCAACAATAGAACACACCATTCTCTAAAGGGTAAAATATATTTTCTTTATTTCTTTTTGCAGTTTAAACAGTCCTTTGGGGATCAGAATGGATACAGTGGTTCTTTTAAAACATGATTGCACTGTCAGGGATTGGCGATAAGGCCTGTGATAATGGACCCTCCTTGTTCTCTTAAGCCTAGCGTACATCGGACTGGCAACTGATTATATCCGTTGCATATGAGTTGCTGCCCCGCACACATCGACAATATGACGAAAACAGGCAACTCCCAGTAGCAGACCAGTCTTGGGAATAACAGCGCGTACATCGACAGCAACTGGCCTCAACCACAGTGTGTTTTCTGACATAAACTGTTGCGGGCTCGCAATACACGCAATACACACACGTTGTCGGAGCGGCGCATGGAGCGCGCACATCGGGTCATATCTCCGAAACTGAGGACAACTAGTTGCCGAAAAGTAGAACACGGGCAACTGACTGAAACTGGAGACCGACTGATCATCTTCAGTTGTAAGAGCGCGCACATCGACCGATTTCGGCAACTGATCATCTCCCACCATCTCCTCTCAGTTGCCAAAAGCCGCCTTGGCACTAGTTGTCTCCAGTTTCTCTGTCGATGTACGCTAGGCTTTAAAGTTTATTGTCAAATACTGGAGCCACCTTGACCGTTTCAGTGTTTGAAGGGGAAATTCCCTTCATGGGCAGAGGCTTGTTGCCTGGGATATTGTAGCTGTCCGAACATGTGTTGCTTTCCACAAATGGCCAGTTATACCGACTACTTAGTCGGTGTACCTGAACTTTTATGCCAAAATTGGTGATTAGACTGGGAGATAATTTTGGATATTTTCTCTTTTTCGTGTTTTTTTTTTCCCATCTTGCTGCTTTGAAAGATTGTTTTTCTCTGTGGGTGGTTTGAATTTGCCTGTAACTCTCTGTAAATCTATGTAAAGTGTATGTTCTGCTGATTGCGTCACAGTATCAGACCGGAGATAGCGGTCCTTATATGGCACATTTCCAGTTGAAGGAGTGGTAGGTACCACAGACATTGAAAACGTGGCTGGTCCTCAGCGGCCCCCAGGCCTGTGCTAAGGCGGAGTTATATGGTAGTGATGTGTTGCAATGAGTTCTGTGTGCGCTGAGAAACAGTCGCAGCTGTAACATACACAGCTGTATGATACACAGATGCCGCAACACACTTGTAAGTAACGCAGTGTTGTGCCAGTTCACAGCTTTTCTGAACTAGTTCAAGTTCATTTTCATGCATGCTCAAATGAACAGTTCACGTTCAAGAGTTCACATTTTTAATTCTGAACTAGTTCAAAGTTCAGTTCATTTGACTTTTTTTGGTGAAAAAGTCAAATAAATACTTTTTATCACACTACGAGCTATATATATATATATAATATATATATATATATTAGTGCTGTCCAAACAATTAAAAATTTCATGAATTTCATTAGTTAACTCGCGATTAATGCGCAATTAGTCACACATTGTATCTATTCTTTATGTCCCTTGAATTATCATTTAATACTACTAAAAAAGACTGATTTAGGGGAGAAGTAGGAAAAATAAATAAAAAAATAAAATAAAATAAAAATAAAATAAAATAAAAAATAATAATAAAATTTAAAAACAAATGAAATTAATACAGTAGATAAATATAATAATAACATGAATAATATGTTGCAAATGTGAATTAAATGATAATACACAAGTCAGGTAAGCAAAAGCTTATTTTAATGCATGACACGTTAGTTAAGAAAACGAACTTGGGAAAAAGGAACAAAATAAGAGGGAATTGGGCCGGAGCGTGGGCCCGGCCCATTCCACTCTTTAGTGTTTGGGGTGGGGGCCTGCTTGGGGGTCTGTGAGTGTGTCGGATTTGGTTTTGATGTTGGCTGGTTCCGCTTAGCTTGGTTAAACACAGGCGGCAACTTATATCTTATCTGTGGGGTGTGTGAGTTTGGTATGTATGTGGTGGGTATAGACCATAGACTGTATAGAAACATCATGGTGTATTATGAGATAAACAAACTGTAAATATTTTGTAAATTTGTTTCATGTAAATACTCTATGCTGTTTCTCTGTTTAAGCTTCGGTAATCTATGACTTATACTGTTTTGCTATGTAATTGGCCTTTTTTATTAACTCCTCCCCCCCATCTCCCAATTCATGTCCCGTCCCCCTCCCCCCCCCCCCCCCCTCCTATGGTGCCCTTCTGTTTCTTCTTTGGCCCCCCTGTATCTCCAACTACATATTGTTTGTAATCTGTCTACAATGTATCTGAACTAGTCTTTTTCTTTGTTTCTATTTTTTTCTGTATATGTGTTTGTCTGCAATAAAAAGTAAAAAAACTTTTATCGCTAAAAAAAAAATAACGCCGTTAATATTGATTTGCGTTAACGCGTTAATAACGACGATATTTTGGACAGCACTAATATATATATATATCCCCTGTACACCCACAGGAGAGAGCCTTTGACTAGAAAACAGATGAGTTTATCATTGGTTTTTCAATGGATCAAAACGTAGTATACCCCAACTCTGCTCATAAAACTACAAATCAGTAATGCCTGCCGTGCGTGTGTCTATACTTTATGTCAAATGTATAACTTGTAAACTTTGTCGCTAACTCACCCTGTGATTTCATCTCTGACTTGGGCACATTGAAAAGCACCAGCTCAACAGCGCCGCACCACAACACAGAGTCGGGTGCGTTCACAGACGATGGAAACCGTGGAAATTTTAGTTTTTTCAACGGAAAAAGTGCGAGAATAAACAGGAGGGAGGAACTTCTCTGTTGCCGTTTCAAAGAGAAAACAGATTCAACGTTCATAGTGATGTCTGCCGTTCATGACACATAAATGAACTAATTCACGTTCAAGTTCTTTTTTTAAAATGTGTTGCGTTCAGTTCCAACGTTCACGGAAAAAATGAACGTGTTCAATGAACCGTTCTTTGAACTCGTTTCACAGCACAACACTAGTTAACGCTATGTTCATCAATGACAACACTACACAGAACACAAACAAAACAGCGTGATAGAACGTATATTCAGTGGGTGCGTTCGTAAA